CGGTACATGCAGTGTTCAATGTGTATACACTGATGGTGTTGTGTGTCCTTGTCAGCAGTTGCCTCGTGTTGGTAATACCCCTCTGTTCCTCATTCTGGGCGGCTGCAGCTGCAAGTTCTGGCTTAGGACTGACCAGTGGAGTTGTAAACAGTGGTGAGTAGTTGTGGAAGACAGTATTGTAACTGTGTAATGTCTTGGACAATATATACCTGCATTTAGTCATTATCTAATTACCGCCTCCGTGGTCTAGTAGTAGAGCGTCCGCCCGGAGAGCGAAAGGTTCGGGGTTCGATCCCCGACCGCGTCATACCAAAAGACGTTCAAAGATGGTACTTGTTGTTACCCTGTCAGGCGCTCGGCATTTAGGGGCTAAAACAAGGACTGGTCGGCTCGGAGTCAGTATACTGTGTCTGAGTGGGATATACATGTTAAACTGCGGCATGGTATCTAAGTGAGCTACTACTATAAATCGGCATCAGTCCTGACTAGTACAAGCAGCCACACACACGCACGCACACACACACACACACACACACACACACACACACACACACGTGCATGCACATTCCTATATAAGTGCAATAATCTTGGACGCGACGTAAAACCCAATTTCATCTCACCTCTAACGCGGAATTCTCAAACCGGTTGGGGGGGGGGGGGGTTGGGTGTTGGTGAGGAAGGGGGGTGTATGTGTATAGTATCATTGATGAAACAACCACATACATGCATCAAACAGTGATACATAATCCCCCCTCCCCACACCTTGTGTGTGTGTGTTTGCATAATGTACTTTATGTAAGCAGAATAGGCGTTTATGTTCCACATGCTGTCAGCATTTCATTTGTACGTTTAATTTAATCACTTAAGTCTGCAGGCAGTAATGGTAATATTACAATATAACATATTCATATTTCGACTGGTGAATATTCATGTGTATCTATGTGTTTCCGTGTATTTGCGACAGTTGCGACCAGTGAGACAGACAGGATACGTTCCTGCAACAGTTTGTAAAAAATAATCTGTGGCTAGTGAGTTTGTGTTAAGTTTAAAATGTAAATTTGTGCCGAAAAAAGAGACTTTATTGATTTGCAAAACTAAAATACGCATTAGTAGTTGTGTCATGGTTTAAACGTTTGAATAGTAAAACCATTTGCTGTGCCTACTCAGTTAACCATAACATTAAATATTATCGCATTATATATACATGTTGGATGTCAGGTGGAAAGTAATTGTCGGAAACACGAAACAGATGTCGATTAATCATGTAGCCCTACCTCTCTCAGACTTTATTAATTATAAATGAAAGTATATCACGCACTCAACTCTCTTTCGTCTACTATGGGAAATGTCCGAAGATTGAAACGATAGACGGTACCAGGTTCGAGGTTCGATTAAGGGCTTTAAACAAGGACTGGTCGGCTCGGAGTCAGTATACTGTGTGAGTGGGGTAATCATGTTAAACTGCGATATGGTATCTCAGTGGGCCAGCACTATATATCGGCATCTGTCCGGACTAGCTAGTACAAGCAGCCACACACACACACACACACACACACACACACACACACACACACACACACACACACACACGCACTCGTGCATGAACGTCGCTACATAAGTGCAATAATCTTGGACGCGAGGCTAAGCTCAATCTCACTTCACCTCATTATCTAATTCGTAATTAGGGTCCAGATCTTCTTCAAAATGAGGGTTAAGACCGTTTGAACAATCTTACTCCACTGTTAGAATGTTAGAATTAGCCTCAAGCACTATATATGATCAGGTGGTCAAGTTTCAACATTGGTTGTGTGACATTGTACCCTAACCTCTGGAACGTTGATTATACACTGGTTTGTCTGCCTAGTGATATAACCGGAATATTGCTGACTTCGATGAATACCGACAAAAGCAATTTAAACAAAACAAAATATATTAGTTGACAAATTGTTTTAATGACACTTATGTTTTATCATTGCAGCTAGAGTTGCAAAGATTGGTGCATTAAGCCAGGAGAGTGCTATTCCCCTCCACTTGATGGGGATAGCAATGTGCGCTGGCAACATCCTAGGACCATTGATTATCTCCCCTTTTCTCAACAACACAATCAACCAAAGCAACGCGTCTAACATGTCAGACTTATTCGTGACGTCAATCGAATGTGGAGGGTCAGACTCAAGAATAGCTTATGCATATCTGATCATTGCATCAACTGGAACACTACTAGTTATTGTCTTGGCTGTTTTACGTTATTGTCTACAAAACAGTCCCAAGCAGGATTCAGACCAGAAAAACAATTATTCCTTTGGAAAGATGGAAATTATTTTTGTCAGCTTCCAAATATCTTTAATATTCATGGGAGGCGCCACAAATTTCGTATACGGGACCTTACTCTTGCTCTTTGGAACCCGAAGCAGTCTCAGCTTACCAGAGACAACAATGGCACTGATGACATCATCTTTTTATGCAGTCACATTGTTAGGGCGTGTTGGGGGCTTGTTTGTGAGCTTAGTAGTGCGGCAGCTGTGTTTGGTCACATCGTGTTTGGTAGGGGTTCTAGCTGCATCTGTTTTTCTGGTATGTACTGCAGAAATGAGTTCGGAGTTTTTATGGGCGGGTTCCCATTTTCTCGGACTGTGCTATGCTCCGTTATTTTCTGCTCTATTGGCATGGTGTGTAGAAAATGTTACAGTGAATGATACATTGTATGCCATTTTCATATTTTTTGACTTGGCAGGAACGTCATTGATATCCCTCACTATAGGGCAGTTGATGTCAGATTTCCAACCTCAAATGCTGCATTATACCATGGCGATGATAGCTTTCATACAAATACTGTTATTCCTCTGTCTGTTCTTCTTTGGAAAGTTGCTACGAAAACAATACAAAGAAGCATACACACATCTTGCTGGTACAAAAAGTGGATAAAATCCTACAATGCAACAATGATCTGGTTATATTTCAACAAATTTTAACTAATATGGTAGAATAGGTCTTCAGCAACCCATACTTGCCGTTAAAGTCGCTGACTTGGTTGATGCATGTCATCGATCCCAATTGCGTGGATCGATGTTCATGATATCAATAACTGGATTGTCTTGTCCAGATTCGATTATTTACAGACCGACGTCATATAGCTGGAATATTGCTGTGTGCGGCGTTAAACAACAAATAAACAAACGAACAAACAAAAATAATCTGCAGCACCAAAACAGTTTTATCAATTTCCAGATAAAAAATGTTACTTTTACTTTGTTGAATTTAAAACTCTTCTGAACTTCTTCCAACATCACCTGTCCACTGAACCTAAATGTTTTATCATGCCTTGATGCTTCTTATTTTTATTTCACAACAAAGTTTTACTTCCTGAGCCATGTGCATCTGGACAGTACATCTTTTGTTATTATCATTATTTTTTTTTTTTTTGCAAGAGCGTATTTTTGAAATCGTCTTGATAGAATATACACATCAAGTTGTCATGAGACTGAGTGATTTAAACTTTTTCATAGCATCAGCAACATTGCAGTGAGTGAGTATGGTTTTAGCAATATTCGAGCAATATCACGGCGGGGGACACCAGAAACGGGCTTCCCACTTTGTACCGATGTCGGGGATCGAACCCGGGTCTTTGGCGTGACGAGCGAACGCTTTAACCACTAGGCTACCCGACCGCCCATAGCAATATCGCAGCTATATACAGATTGGGACATACCCTGTCGACAGTAAAAATTAAATCATTGAGCTTATGACGGATCAAAAACAAAACGATCCAAGTCAGAATTCAAAATCTATCAATAGCTCAATTAATTCATCTATAAATTTCTATTTTGAAGTTTAGGGATTTCCTGTGATGTGATTGGTTTAAATGCTGCTCGCATGATCCGTTCATTTTTCAACAAACTTTTAAAAGTGACATTTACAAAGTATAAACTTCACCCTTTTCATGCGGAATCCCAGAGGGGACAATTCCCTATGGTCTGCCCTGCTTACCAGTGAGTGAGTTAAAATGTGACGTCGCATTAACATTATTTCAGCAGTGAGGATCGGTAATACGGAACAACAAATTAACAAGCCTAATTACATATTCACGACCCGTAAAAATCCGAGGTAGAATAGGTCTTCAGCAACCCGTGCTTGCCGTAAAAGGCGACTATGTTTGTCGAAAAAGGCGACTAATAGGATCGGGTGGTCAGGCTCGCTGACTTGGTTGATGCGTGTCATCGATCCCAATTGCGTTGATCGATGCTCATGATGTCAATCACTGAATTGTCTCGTCCAGACTCGATTATTTACGGACCGCCGTAGTATAGATGGAATATTCCTGAGTGCGGCGTTAAACAACAAACCAACCAACCAACCAACCATCATTGACGACATCACGGTGACATTATCTGGACCACCCTTTAAAGGGCACTGGTCGTACTATATAGCTATTTTTACTGTTGCAATGCTATCATTGTCAGTATGCACACGTGAAGATCCAGGGTAGAATAGGTCTTCAGCAACCCATGCTTGCCGTAAACGGCGGCTATGCTTGTCGTAAGAGGCGACTAACGGATCGGGTGGTCAGACTGGCTGACTTGGTTGGTACATGTCATCGATTCCAATTGCGTAGATCGATGTTCATGATGTCAGTCACTGGATTGTCTGGACCAGACTCGATTAATACAGACCGCCGTCATATTTGGAATATTGCTGAGTGCGACGTTAAACAACCAACCAACCATCATTGACGAAATCACGGTGACATTATTTGGACCACCTTTCAAAGGGCACTGGCCGTATTATATAGCTATTTTTACTGTTGCAATTAATGCTATCATTGTCAGTATGCACATGGTCAACGCTACAAGTGCAGAGTTAACTTCAGACAGTCCAATGGTTGAAATGTCTGTCCTGCAGAAAAAGAGAGTACATCGGAGTGCTTTGAGGAATAGCATGCTGACAAAGCTGCTAAAAGAACATTCATACATCCGTAGAGAATAGTCTACAATCTGTTTATATATATTTTAAGAGTAATTTATTTTGACTAAATGGCATTTGTGTTTTTCTTAAAAGAAACCGAATAGCTCTCCGATCTGAAACTTTGTCCTGTGATTCTGTCTTGTTTCCATTCTGATGAGATTTCCTCGATTGTTCTGCCTTTCGTTTCTGGCAGGAACATAACTAGGAATATCCAGAACAGCACGAGCAGAACAGTGAAGGGCAAGAACGAAAAACTCATCAGTCCTTTCTGGAGAAGAAAACGGGAGACAGATTATTATGTGTAAATTTGCGACGAACCTGTAGCTCACCTGGTAAATACCAATTCAGGGTGTTTCATCTGTCATGTTAGCAATTCAAACATGTGCAGTAAGAAGGAATATTTTAGTGAGTAAGTGATGTTTCAGTAATACAATATTCAAGTGGGACCTATAGTGTTACAATTTTCAGCCGCCCCGTGAAGATTCCGGGGTAGAATAGGTCTTCAGCAACCCATGCTTGCCGTAAAAGGCTACTAACGGGATCGGGTAGTTAGGCTCGCTGACTTGGTTCATGCACGTCATCAATCCCCATTGCGTGGATCGATGCTCGTGATTTCAATCACTGAATTGTCTGGTCCAGACACGATTATTTACAGACCGCCGACATACAGCTGGAATAGTGCTGAATGCGGCGTTAAACAACACACAAACAAACAACCAAGTCAGCGAGCCTGTCTACCCGATCCCTTTAGTCGCCTCTTTCGACAAGCATAGTCGCCTTTTAAGGCAAGCATGCGTTGCTGAAGACCTATTCTACCCCTGAATCTTCACGGATCTGGTCATCCTGACTTCCATGTATCAAATGCTATGTAAAACCCCGCAAGATGTCAGGAGTTGCATACTTACAACCATTACAGTGATCCTTCAACAATTACATACATCGGTCATTCGATTAAACAAAACCAACAAAAGTGCTCCAAAACTCCGTAAGAAAGATATATCTAGGCGCCCACACTTTAAGTTCAACACTGTGAGAGTTCCGGAGTAGAGTGAGTGAGTGAGTTGGGTTTAACGCCGCTTTTAACATCATTCCAGTTATATCATGGCGTGTCAGCTTAATGTGGGAGGAAAACCCGAAGTGACGCAGGTCTCAGACGTTTACCACTTCGGTGAAACCCAAGAGCACGGGTATGGTGCTGACAAACCTGGAAACTTAATCGGGGCGAACCGGGATTCGAACCCACAATCATAGGTTTCTGGCGTGCCCAGGGGACGCAAAGCTGGACAGCGAATCGCGACGCCTTAGACGACTGGGCCAAGCGTGCCCCTGTCCGGAGTGGTACAGGTCCACAACAACATATGACTGGTGTAAAATGCGACTGAGCGGACTTTGTTGATTGAGTGTGAATGGCAACTCGACGACGACAGTGCTACTAACACCACGACTGGTGTGTTTGGGTCCGCATTACCCCTGATACACCTGGAAAGTTGCTGACTGTGGCATTATATTTCGGCAAAGGCTGAACAAATGCATATTTGCTGGCAAGATTTGCTTTCAAGAGACACGCGTGTGTGACCAACATACCTGCATGTGAGGGAAGCCGTAACCAACGCAGAAGTTCGCCACCCAGTTGACGAGGACAGAGACACTGATGGCGGACGATCTCGCCCCTTGGGAGAACAGTTCGGCCACGATCAACCAGGGTATAGAACCTACAAAAAAGAGCGAATAAATTCAGTTATCACGTCGAACCTGCAATGTCACACCCATGTAGCTTTGTCCGTCTGTTGGTAGTTATTTAACGCCGCAATTGTCCAGCTCTGTGACGCTGGGTAGACAATTTAGTGATCAGAGAAGCCAGTGATTGATATTATAGGAAACTATCCACGCTGTCGGGGCACGATGACATTCAACTCAACTAAGCTACCGAGCTGTCCGACAAGCCGATCCAATACATCGCCTCATACGACCATCACTGGTTGCCTGCTACGACCATCACAGATTCCCTGCTACGACCTTTCACTGGTTGCCTCATACGACCGTCACAGGTTGCCTTTTACGACCATCACAGGTTGCCTCCTACGACCATCACAGATTCCCTGCTACGACCTTTCACTGGTTGCCTCATACGACCGTCACAGGTTGCCTTTTACGACCATCACTGGTTGCCTCTAACGACCATCACAGATTCCCTGCTACGACCTTTCACTAGTTGCCTCCTACGACCGTCACAGGTTGCCTCCTACGACCATCACTGGTTGCCTCTTACGACCATCACTGGTTGCCTCTTACGACCATCACAGGTTGCCTCCTACGACCATCACAGGTTGCCTCTTACGACCATCACTGGTTGCCTCCTACGACCATCACTGGTTGCCTTTTACGACCATCACTAGTTGCCTCTTACGACCATCACTGGTTGCCTCTTACGACCATCACTGGTTGCCTCTTACGACCATCACTGGTTGCCTCCTACGACCATCACTGGTTGCCTCTTACGACCATCACTGGTTGCCTCTTACGACCATCACTGGTTGCCTCCTACGACCATCACTGGTTGCCTCCTACGACCATCACCAGTTGCCTCGTACGACCATCACCAGTTGCCTCGTACGACCATCACTGGTTGCCTCCTACGACCATCACTGGTTGCCTCCTACGACAATCACAGGTTGCCTGCTACGACCATCACTGGTTAGACCCGTGGAGATTCCGGGGTAGAATAGGTCTTCAGCAACCCATGCTTGCCGTAAAAGGTGACTATGCTTGTCGTAAAAGGCGACTAACGGGATCGGGTGGTCAGGCTCGCTGACTTGGTTGATGCATGTCATCGATCCCAATTGCGTGGATCGATGTTCATGATATCAATCGCTGGATTGTCTGGTCCAGACTCGATTATTTACAGACCGCTGTCATATAGCTGGAATATTGCTGAGTGCGGCGTTAAACAACAAACCAACCAACCAACTGACGGCGATGGCCACACAACCATCAACGTCGTCTCGATGCAACGGTACGGTGTTCAACTGCAGAGGGATAGCACTATCACTTACATATTTCAGTCACATACCCTCTCTAAACCTGAGATCGCATCCATGATCTAGTGGATAGAACGTCTTCCCGGTGAGAAGAAATTTAGTGTTTCGATATCCTACCAGGTCATACCAAAAGACGTTAAAATGTGGTATTTGTTGTTACCCTGAGTGCCGCTCGGCATTCATTGGACAAAACAAGGTCTGGTCAGTTTGGAGCATTCTGAGTAATCTGTGCTTGTCCTAAGACGCGAGTAAAATGGAATTTAAAAAAATGCTTGTGGGCAACGAAGATGAGCTCACCTGGTCCTAATGCGAAGAAGACGACGAACATGAGAGCCATTGCGACGCTGGCGCCATTGCACCATTCAACTCTGTCCTGAAGAAAAGAAGCGCCTTATAATACACCAGAGACCCGAAGAAATGGTTATTTTAAAAGTTATTCAAACAACGAGTTAAAGTTCATGTGTGATCATGTATGCCACACTTTAATTATCAATATATGTAATCCTTGTGCAGTTATCAAATGATTGGTTGGTTGGTTTGTTGTTTAACGCCGCACTCAGCAATATTCCAGCTATATGACGGCGGTCTGTAAATAATCGAGTCTGGACCAGACAATCCAGTGATCAATTACATGAGCATCGATCCACGCAATTGGGATCGATGACATGCATCAACCAAGTCAGCGAGCCTGACCACCCGATCCCGTTAGTTGCCTTTTACGACAAGCATAGTCGCCTTTTACGGCAAGCATGGGTTGCTGAAGATCTATTCTACCCCGTATCTTCACGGATCGTTATCAAATGAATGTCCACATCGGGCTAAATGAACAAAATGGAACATTTGGCTTGAATAATTTCTGGCAAACTGGTCTTTTTTATGACGTGTCCATGGTAACCATTGTAACTAGTCGAACAGAAATCCATACATTGCATGGCTATTTTCTGTTGGCTGCTGTTTCTGACGTCTGTCAACTTTTGCCACATTGTGAGTTACTGCTACTTTTCTGTCTATAATATTTCACTACTGCTGGCCACTGGGGTATTTAGGATTTGTTTGTCGTGTGAGTTCATCTTACGGAAAGATTGAGAAGGGTGACAGCACATTAAACATTTGGGAAATGAATGTAATAACACCTGGCCAATTAAACTAATGAGAATGCAGGAATTTCAATGAACACAACGAAACTTGTACTCGTCGCTATTTGGCTGAAATAATGCCGATGCGACGTTAGATATTAACTCACTCACTCTGTCCAATTTAGGTGTGGACCGTTGCGCAGAATATCAATCACTGGTTTGTCTGGTCCAGGCTGTGAACTGCTGTGAACTGTGGCGTAATACAGCAGACAAAACATATCTCGTTATGCTGTAATCTGTCTTACTCACCAAAAGCGAGAGGCATACTGTTATCAATATGCTAGACACGATCATTCCGCCGAGACCAATCAGATGCAGACTCCGTCGACCAACCCTGTCCATGAGTGGAATCGTCACGAGTGTCATGGCAACCATGATAGCTCCCACCCCGCTCGTGGCGTGAGTGGCTGTGGATTCATCTAGTCCTGCCCCCTTGAACAGGTTCCCCGAGTAGTAGAAGATCTGTAATGGAAAACGTGCAGTATAGCTTGTAGGCGAGAAACGAGCTGGAGATCAGTTCACAAACAAGCAAAACAAGTAATACACACACACACGTGCATGTTTGTCGTTATATAAGTAAAACTATTCTTGATCTAAAACTTATTTTCAACTCATCCCTGACGTCCTCCCGTTCTTAATGAGTTTCGTCCAAATGTAAAAGGTTCAAGTAACATACTCTTAACAAATCCATCACTTCAGATACAAAGAGAATCTAACCCTCGTGTCTTTTGATATCAAATATACCAACACGAGTTGATAAAAGTGGAAAAAACCCGAGGCTTGCCATTCCAAAGGACACGAGTGTGAGATTTTTTTATCATCCAACATCTTTCTTCCATATTTTTCAGCTTGTCGACAGTAATACGCGGTGTCTATGTACTGCTAACAGCCTCAGTGGCAGAGTCATTAGTGATGTCATTTGATTGTGACGTCATGGTAACAATTATGTCACAATGGTCTGCACGGCATTGTGATTCAATTTCATTGCAGCGAAATCTACAATGTAGATTCATAGATAAATGCTGGTCCTACCTCTTTATCATTGCAATTTTCTTAGACTGTATTATGTCTTTAATTCTAGTTGGGGGGAGTTAACACATGCAGAATAGCCTGTAGATAATATTCTGAAGCATCTACAGTTCATCACAACATCTTAATTTTGTTATAGTGGACCCCTGAAGATTCCGGTGTAGATTAGGTCTTCAGCAACCCATGCTTGCCGTAAAAGGCGACTATGCTTGTCGTAAAAGGCGACTAACGGGATCGGGTGGTCAGGCTCGCTGACTTGGTTAATGCATGTCATCGATCCCAGTTGCGTACGCGTGGATCGATGCTCATGTATCAATCACTGGATTGTCTGGTCCAGACTCGATTATTTACAGACCGCCGTTATATAGCTGGAATATTGCTGAGTGCGGCGTAAAACAACAAACCAACCAACCAACTGTAATAGTGAGTCAACATTAGAAGCGTCCTGTTACCATATAGCTTATGACAGAAGTAACTGACATCGTTCTGCATGTCCACCTGTTTGTCAAGTAGATCTCCATTTGAAACTTTGATTCGTGTAAAGAATTTATTGAAGAAATTTAAAGATTCATGTCTTTATAAGAACGAATTCGGCTTCTCACCCTTTTCAATCCACTGTGCTTCAGATCTTTTAATTGACACTTGTGTTGTAATTTGTTTTATATTCTCAAATGCATCTTTCAATTAATTTTATTTCCACTATTAGCTTACTCTTTTCTATTTCATCTTCTGCCTTATCTCATTAAACTTCTTTGTCAGTTCGGTTTACCGATTTTATCTTTTCTTTCTTTTCAAGTTTCTTCTCGTCAACGTCATGGAATTTTGAATATGGTTTCTCTTCTTATCAATAATACGGTTTCGAAAAATAACTGGTCATCGATAGAAAAATGGTCAGACGTTTCATCGTTATTTTGATATAGTTGAGCTGTTTTCTCGCTCTCTCGTTGTTGGATTGTATGTAATTATATGTGTCCAAACTAAAGTCCTGACTAACGTCCCAGTCAACACGAACCAGGAGGACACTCTCCAAAGATCTAACTATTGAATCAAATTCTTCATAGAATTACGGCTCGTTATTTGGGCCACAGATTTTATTATTGCTAATTTATACTTGTCTAGGGTTAGTTCAATCGCAATCATATTACCTTTTTCATCAATATTAATGTTTTCGAGTTTGAAAACTAGTCTTTTGTGTGTTCATTATTCAATAAACAGAAGATATTATTATTTTTGACGTATTTATTTGAAAGGAATTGACTCAGCAAACTTTAGGTACATCCATAAACGCAAAAAATATATTGAAGTTAATGGTCGTTAACTTGATGAAGAAAGGCAGTCATAGTACGGGAGTCCTAAGTATACATGCGTTACGAATTGTAAAGAATTTATTGAAGATATTTCAAGATTCAAGTCCTTATAAGAACGAATTCGGCTTCTTACCCTTTTCAATCCACTGTGCTTTAGATCTTATAATTGACACTTGTGATGAAATTTGTTTTATATTCTCAAATGCATCTTTCAATTAAAGCAGTCATAAACAGTATGGGAGTCTGAAGTATACATATGTCACGAATTGCGAGTGAAATGACAAAAAACAAAGCCGTGAGGATTCTGAATAAGCATATGGTCCCCAACAACCCTAGCTTGTCTGAAGAGAACGACTAAATGAATCGGGTGGTCAGGCTCGGTGGCTTCCGTGTCACTGTATCTCAATCTCAGATACAGTAAACAACGGTTATTACGAACTCAAATGGACCACTAATTTTAGCTCGTTGTAACCGTAGTTCGTTATAAACATATATACACCATATATACAGCAAATGGCTTGGACCAAAACAAAGTTCGTTATATACGCCAGTTCGTTATAAGCGTGTTCGTTATAAACGTAGTTTACTGTAGCTTGAACATGGCTTAATTGCGGCGTTAAACAACACACCAGCAACCAACGACACACGACTTACCACATTTATGCCCGAGAGTTGCTGAGAGAGATGCATGACGATACTGATGATGAGGGGCATGCGCAGAGACCGCTCCTGAACAAACATGATGGCGCTAATCTGGAGTAGAAACATGATGGTCGTGAAAATGGTTTCTTGTTATAAATATTGCAATGAAATTTTGCCTCGTCGTGCTTGAACACCATACGTGCATCATACATGTAGCACTACGAGTACCAAATGAAGTTGAAATCCATAGGCCAGTTCTCTTTTTGTCTTTCGTCCCATAGCTTCATGTTACTTGAAGATATATTTTACTTTGCCATTCGACCCGTGAAGATCTGGTCCAGCAAGCGATGCTTGCAGTAAAAGGCGACTATGCTTGTCGTAGGAGGCAACTAACGGGATCGGATTGTCAGGCTCGCTGACTTGGTTGATGCATGTGTTCGTATCCCAATTGCATGGATCGATGCTCATGATGTCAATCACTGGATTGTCTGGTCCAGACTCGATTATTTACAGACCGCCGTCATATAGCTGGAATATTGCTGAGTGCGGCGTTAAACAACAAACAAACAAAGAAGCAAACTTTGCCATTCTTGTGATCAGTGCACACCTTAGCGTCACCCATGGCTTGTTCGGCTTCCTTCTTCATCTCCGCGATTTCCCCACCCACGTCTCCGCCGCCACGTAGCGACTCCAGTACTTTGTGAAGAAACATCGGTTCATTAACAACAAAAATAATTCTAACATTGTAAGTATGTTCTTAACAGTCGTCCATAACAAGATTTTACCAAAGATCACGGCCCAGTTCCACAAAGCCATCTCAGCGCTAAGGTGATCCTAATTCCAATACTTTAACGCTGACTTAAGGAAGTCGCTTTGTGGAACGGTGCCCCGTGGTCTTGTGGATAGAGCATCTTACGAAGGTCAGTGGTTCGATCCCCGACCACGTCATACCGAAAGACGTTAAAAGATGGTACATGTTGTTACCTGACTGAAGCTCGGCATTCTGGAGAATAAACCTGGTCGGCTTTGGGTCATGGTATCTGCGGCATGGTATATCAGTGAGCTAGCACTGTAAAGGTCAGTGGGCTAGCACTGTAAAGATTCGACCCGTGAAGATTCCAGGGTAGAATAGGTCTTCAGCAACCCATGCTTGCCGTAAAAGTTGACTATGCTTAGGCGACTAACGGGATCGGGTGGTCAGGCTCGCTGACATGGTTGATGCATGTCATCGATCCAAATTGCGTGGATCGATGCTCATGATATTAATCACTGGATTGTCTGGTCCAGACTTGATTATTTACAGACCGCCGTCATATAGCTGGAATATTGATGAGTGCGGCGTAAAGCAACATACAAACAACATAACATACAATCATTGCTTACAAAATTATTCGTGTACGCAGTGTAGCCTTTTTAATTCGAACTGACTAGATTCATAGTTGACTATGGAGTGTTGCTATGTCACAAACCTTTCCGTGCGTCCAGTTCTCTGCCCTGTGTTATCAGCAGATATCGGGGGGTCTCCGGGCAGAAAGGCATCACAACCAGTTGTAAAACACAAGGGAGTGCCGTCAAGCCTGGTAGAAGTCAATTCACATTACCCTTAATTGTTTAATTTAACCGAGAACATACGAGGAAGTATTTTGACGGATTACGTGGTTAACAAAGTCCATTAAGAAAGACAATCAAACAAATGTACGAAATTCTGAAATCAACAGATCGATGACAATGAGTTTGGAAATACGACATGGTTTTGTTGAAGTATTTTTGATCCTGACAGCTACTCATCACAATCGATGTGGTGGAGAATGTGAAGACAGCATACACTGACAAACCTCCCGCCTGTGTTAACTGCTCCGGCAGTCATCCCTAATCTTCTATAGAATGTCCTTCATGGAATCTACGACCCGTTAAGATCCGAGATGGAATAGGTCTTCAGCAACGCATTCTTGCTATAAAAGGCTACTATGCTTGTCGTAAGAGGCGACTAACGGGATCGGGAGGTCAGGCTCGCTGACTTGGTTGATGCATGTCATCGTATCCTAATTGTGTGGGTCGATGCACATGATGTCAATCACTGGATTGTTTGGTCTAGACTCGATTATTTTACAGACCGCCGTCATGTAGCTGGAATATGGCTGGAATAGTGCGGCGTTAAACAACAAACAAACAATACCCATTCCATAACAATAATGATCTCTGCTACGAATCCGACTATATCATAAGTATGTATTTTCCATCAAAACAAAACCGTAATTTTGCACCGGTTCATTTAAAAAATAATTAACTTTCAATCTTTTGAGGATTTACGCAAAGTGCGCTCACCGATGTTTACGCTTATAACTCCATAGGCGAAAAATATAGTGATGTCTATTGTAATAAATAAATACGTCAACAATAATAATTTCACGGACAGCTTATCTAACCATGGACAAAAAAAACTGTGGATAATAATACGAAATCAGTTACAGCGCAACAATGCAACACAAGCCCCGCCCATTCTATTATCAGCCAATCAGGAAACAAGAGTCCGGAAACATTCGTATGGAAACTGCCTAGTTAGCCAATCAAAGGCCAGGGAAACATTTGTTTCAACCCTTGGCAACGTTTATTTGCGTGCATGCATTGTTAAAAAATACGAAGTCAAAAACTGATGGACGCTCCACGTGGTATTTGTTATTCATCAGGGTCATGATAATAGTTTACATGGTAAAACTCACCTAAAAGAACATGCCAGGACTGGTTGTTTCCGAATATCTCGGGAAAGCCGAGAATCTGCGAGATAAGTAAGCCGGAAACGACAAAAAGCTGATGCAAGACACCTAGAGCTCCCCGGATGTTGACTGAGGCAATCTCGCTGAGGTAGATGGGCGCAAGAGCCGTGTAGAGACCTGATAAAAGAGAATGCGTCGTAGATTATGTGCTACAGTCGAATATAAACGCCATTGCAAGAAAAAAACCAGTCTTGATTATCCGCCGAAACACACACCATTTGGCGTTAAGAGCAAAATAGCTGTAGCTGTATTCATGAAATATGAATGAATAGCTGAAAAAACAGTGATTACTCCAGGGGTTCTCGAAAGGATAACCATGTCGAGACCTACTGCTAGCAGACAATTTGCATAAAAGTTAAGTATGGTGTGTCTGACGTCAGCCGGTAAACAAAGCAGGCAAGCATGTGATCGATGGACGAAAAGTCGAGTGACACGATAGTGCATTTACTGATTCTGTTGAAACTAAAAGCCTAAAAGCATTTGTTTTGTGAACGCCGCACTGATTATGACGGCGGTCTCTAAATAATCGAATCTGGACCAGATAATCCAGTGATTAAAATCATAAGCATCGATCTACGCAATTTGGATTCGATGACATGCATCAACCAAGTCAGCGAGCCTGACCACCCGATCCCGCTAGTCGCCTCTTACGACAAGCATAGTTGCCTTTTGCGGCAAGCATGGGTCTTCATATGTGATACATTGACAGGACAATGGAGTGATGTCACTGGAGGTTTATATAGAATTGTATTGATAGCTGATGTTGTCATGGATTCATACATACCACAGTTGAATCCCACCACCAGCCTCCCGACAATGATCATCTCATAGGACGCCGTCATTCGGCTGAAGTACAACAGAGCCGCAGCGCCAATGCCTATGACGGCGTTAATCAAAGAGCCATTCTTCCTGAAAGTCAGAATTCAGAACCATTTCAGTAAAATTATCAGGGGTGGAGGTGTGTGTCGAAGGTGTGTATTTGTAAAGCACTCAAGACGCTACACAGTGCTGCGTACAAAGAGTACGTCATCAAGTGTATGCAATGTGCATGAAACGTCATGGTCAGTTGATGTCATATACATTGTACGTCATCATCACTGTGCGCCGTCTACAGAGTACGTCATGTGTAGGGCATGTCATGTACATATTACAGAGTACGTCATGTGCAATGTGTCTCATACATATTACGTCATAAACAGGTCATATGAAGGGAACGTACTGTACATAGTACGTCATGCGCAAAGTATGTCATGAACATGTTACGTCATATACAAGTTATGTGAAGGGGACGTCATATACAGAGTACGTCATGCGCAATGTATGTCATGTACAGATTACGTCATAAACAGGCCATGTGAATGGGTCATTGGGAGGGTGCGCCATGTATAGGGATTATTGTATGGTAGGTAATCCATGCGCAGAGTTCGTCATGTCGAGTGTATATTGAATAAAAAGTATGCCACTTTTAGATCAGGTCATACACAGGATGACATGTGCATGGTGCGTCATGGACAAGGTACGTCATGGGTTTGATACGTAATCTATAAGGTACAGCTTGTGCAATGTACGTCATGTACGGGATATACGTACGTATTGAGCTTGATAAGTCATCTACACGGTACGCCAAGTACACGTCATGTACGGGGAATATCGAGTACAGAGCAGGCAATGTGCACGAGGTATCATGTGCACGGGGAATAATATTCAGAGAAAACAATTCCGTAAACTCACCTGCCAAAGTAATCTGCCCACAGACCCGCCAACAGACCCCCGACGGCGCCGCCGATGGCAAAGGCTGCCACCAGGACGGCGAACAGGTTGGTCTGAGTGTCCACGTCCATCTCTTGACCGTCACGTGACATGACTGTGGCGTTCATGAACTCCTTGATCCTCTAAATAAAAAAATAAAAAACAAACAGGTTTTACAAGGTGCTTATGCTGCCAAACAGGTGGACAAGGATAAGCAAATCAGCTGATAATTAGGTGAGACCTACATGCTGCGGACTATCTGTGTTACCCGGTTCTGCAACTGCGAGTGCTTTCACTATTATTCAAGGCATAACCGATGTAATATTTCCATCGTGACATATGCACGAAAAAACCTGAAGAAACTTTTTATTAAGTTTGGAACGATTTTGCGTCCTAAGAGTCCCAGAATGAGTACGTCATGTGTATGGTACGTCATTAACAGGGTACGTCACGTGCAGGTTACTTCATGTGCAGGGTGCGTCATGTGCAGAACACGTCATGTCAAGGGTATGTTATGTTCAGGGTATTTCATGCCCGTGATACGGCATGTGTAGGTTACGTCATGTCCAGGTGACGTCGTGTGAAAGGTACGTCATGTGCAGGGTACGTCATGTGAAGGGTATGTTATGTGCAGGTTACGTCATGTGCAGGTTACGTCATGTACATAACACGTCATGTGCAGGCTACGTCACGTGCAGGTTACGTCATGTGCAGAACACGTCATGTGCAGGGTACAACATGTGAAGAGAATGTTATGTTCAGGGTACTTCATGCCAATGGTACGGCATGTGCAGGTTACGTCATGTGAAGGGTACGTCATGTGCAGGGTACGTCATGTGCAGGCTACGTCATGTGCAGGGTACATCATGTGAAGGGTACATCATGTGAAGGGTATGTTATGTGCATGGTACTTCATGCCAATGGTACGGCATGTGCAGGTTACGTCATGTGAAGGTTACGTCATGTGCAGGCTACGTCATGTGCAGGTTACGTCATGTGAAGGGTACGTCATGTGCAGGGTACGTCATGTGCAGGCTACGTCATGTGCAGGGTACATCATGTGAAGGGTACATCATGTGCAGGTTACGTCATGTGAAGGTTACGTCATGTGCGGGTTGCATCATGTGCAGATTACGTAATGTACAGAATACGTCACGTGCAGATTACGTCATGTGCAGGTTACGTCATATGCAGGCTACGTCATGTGCAGAACACGTCATGTGCAGTGTACATAATGTGAAGGGTACTTTATGCCCACGGTACGGCATGTGCAGGCTACGTCATGTCGAGTTTACGTCATGTGCAGGGTGCGAAGGTTTACCTACAGCTTCAGGGGCGTTGATGACTCCAGTGTTGTAGCCAAACTGCAGTGATCCCATAGCGGCTCCACATATCGCCACTACCAGACGCAGGGTCAGTTTCTATTGAACAAATGAAATACACACTATTCAATCAACAGTAAGCCCACGGATGATCAAGATTGAGAGGATATGTCAACCTGCAGTAGATACTAAAATAAGATAAGATATAGAGATTATTAAACGGGCATGTGTGCCATACTGATTCCAAGAGACGAGTGTCAGAATTGTATTTCCCGAGCGAGAGGAGGGAAATACAAGAATCCTGAGTGTCGTAAAAACATGACACACATGCGAGTGTTATTATTTCTTCCTGCTGTAAGTTGGCAAAGCTTGTAAAATACCTAATCTACATCACAGATAGACTCTGATTTTCAGTATATTAGACTATTCTTTTGATAATGATAGCAATTATCCCAGTAGTTTCTCCAGATTCCCAATGGTTCATTCTGACTCGAACGTCGAATGACAAGAGCGACGCCATGTTGTCTACACTGAAAGTAGTCCCTACTTGATATTTGATATTTGCACCTCTATCCGCATATGACTCCAACGGATATCGTTTTTCCGTTGGCTTTATCCTGCCGAGAAACCTACCCATTATATATATATCGTGAGCGGACTGTCTTATGGGATTTTATGGACTTTTTCCCGCCCATTTAAATACATAAATATATATATATATACAGAGAGAGAGAGAGAGAGAGAGAGAGAGAGAGAGAGAGAGAGAGAGAGAGAATACAAAAGTCCAAAGATGAGCTGTATAATTTACTCAACCGGTTTCACGCATGTGACTTTCAAGAGTACAGTTATACCGTTACGCCGTTTTGACGTCACAAATATGTATATATATATATATATATATATATATATATATATATTGCGTCATACAGAAGGAAGTACTAAAACAATCAGTTGTATACAGAGTAAATAAAACTGGTGAAAGAACACAGCCCTGTGGAGCCCCAGTAGAGGTTATTACTGTGAATGAACGTGTCCGTTTTAAACCAACAATCTGGTCTGTTGTCATTAAAGAAATTCACCCACTCACTAATGTTCCAGTTAACGCTAATATTTGGTGGTATTTAAAGCAGATGAACATCTACAAACAATATTCTGACATATGAGTTACACTTTTCTAGGTAGGTATCGATATTGTGCAAGAGGGACTGATGCGAGTTTTCCACATCTAGTCCTGGTCTGTAAGCAAAAGAGTGAGTGAGTATAATTTACGCCGCTTTTAGCAATATTCCAGCAATATCACGGCGGGGGACACCAGAAATGGGCTTCACACATTGTACTCATGTCGGGAATCGAACCCGGGTCTTCGGTGTGACGAGCGAACGCTTTAACCACTAGGCTACCCGACCGCCCCTGTAAGCACACTGAAGGTCGTCTAAAATGTGATCGACTTCTTCAATTGATATTTTGTTTCCTTACACATTCAAGGCATTTCATCGCAAGCGAAGTCAAGGCAACATGACGACAATCATTATGGACAGATGGAGGGGCGATGGGGTAGCTTAGTGGTTAAAGCGTTCGCTCGTCACGCCGAAGACCCGGGTTCCATTCCCCACATGGGTACATTGTGTAAAGACCATTTCTGGTGACCCCCGCTGTGACATTGCTGGAATATAGCTAAAAGCGGCGTAAAACTGTACTCACTCATTAAGGGCAGATGGATTTGTTTTGCTTTTGAATGGGTATGACATTTGATGTTTTCCAAAGAAGAGCGATTCAATGATTGTCAACATAAATTTCGAAAATTGTTTTAACAATACCACTGCACTCTTTCAAAACAAAACCAGACTAATATTACCAGGGCCCTATGCTTTACGGATATTGAGTTGGCTAAAAGAACTATTAACATCATTATCAACTATTATCAACGATCTGGATTTATGGCCTCCTGGTCCAAGCTAAGGCTATTTTCTACGTAGACTGCAAAGAGCGTCAACAGACCCTTGCTCAAGGAAAAAAACAACAGACGGAAATACTATGATTTCGAATTCCTTCGAAAATACTCCAATAACAGCATACTTTCTTTTTAGCAGCAGTAACAAATATAAATTAATTCGAATTTTCATTCTGGATCCCTTGATATGCTTTTATTATTAGCTGATGCAGTGTATATATCCATTTTAATCTTACCTTGTGATTTAACGTCGCGTTCAAGAGTATTTAACTTTTGTAGCGATGTGCATGCACGTGTGTGTATGTGTGGCTACGTGTACTAGTCCGGACTGAGGCAGGTTTATACTGTAAGCCCACTGGAATACCATCCCGTACCTCAACATGGATACCCACTCAGACATAATATACTGACTCAGAACCGACCAGTCCTTGTTCAATCCCCTTCATGCCGAGCGCCGCAACACGTACACTCTTTTTAACGGTTTTTGAGGCGGTCGGTCAATATATGAACAATATACGATATAGGTTACTTAAATCCCATACGACAGTCCACTCACGAATTCATACTTGAAATGGGACATACTACATCTGTCTGAACAGGGTACCCGGTAGGATGAGATGGGCACACACCAACCTAAACGTCCGAGTCGTCTTTTGGGATCGTTTGGTCATGCTCGTTGACTTGGTTAATGGCGTGTTATCCTACATGTAAGACGTGGGGTCACACAATATCAGTTACTGGTTTCTCGGGTATACGTACATACTCGGTTATTTCAGGCTGCCGGAATATAACCCTTGCATATTGCTGTGGTATTAAACAACAAACAAACAAAGCAAGCATAATCATGTATCCATTCGCGGAACTATAAATGGTTTGACATTTGTCTACATCGTACAGCTCTGCTGGTGTAATCTGTAGCTCTTCTATTAACGCTAATTAGGGATGCAATAACTTCATCGAAAGTGAAAAGTTCACATTGATGCGGAGAAAAAAACTGGATTTTTTCTAGACACCGTTATTGTGGAACTGAATGGACGTATATCGTACGTAACTCACCCCCTGAGCTGGACCAGACTGTATACCTGGGACACCCTTCTCTTCAGCTGCACTCGGCCCAGGGTTAGACGCTTTGCTATCCATGCTGATGGCAGTGTCAGTCGCCGCAGTATGCTGCTACAGTGAACAGGGTCTTCCGTTGGCAGCTTGGTGGATCTGAAAACACCTGAAAAGTTACATATTGTGTTATAAAAATAACGTAAATGCTGCAACGGATGAAAGCATTTGGTTCCTCTACCATGTTTACAAACAACGACATCATATCAGAGGAGAAACTGCCCTTCAACGGCAGATAATTTAGAAAACTTGGCACAGAAATGTTAGACAGTGTGTCTGAGCATTTGTGTCAGATTTACAAACACAACCTTCTAGTCTCACATATCCCACGTTGTAATGGCAAGGGAATACAAGGAAGAAAATCAGGTTTTACAGAAATGACACTGTGACATTTCTACGAAATCGCTGTGTCGTACCTAATTTGCATTCTTTGACAGCAGATTAAGCCACGTTTACACGTCAAGTTTAGTCGTCTCGAGATCTTGCTTAGAGTGAGTGAGTTGGGTTTAACGCCGCTTTTAACAGTATTCCAGTTATATCACGGCGTGTCAGCTTAATGTGGGAGGAAAGCCCGAAGTGATGCAGGTCTAAGACGTTTACCACTTCGGTGAAACCCACGAGCACGGGTATGGTGCTGACAAACCTAGAAACATAATCGGGGCGAACCGGGATTCGAACCCACAATCATAGGTTTCTGGCGTGTCCAGGGGACGCAACTCTGCACAGCGAATCCTGCTGAGACGATCAAGTCGTCCTAATGTTTTACTGTGGAGGTGAACGCGTATTGAGGTTCGTAGTTTCAAACCAGGCCATATTAGGGATTTACATTGTACGCTATATGCAGCCAGACAATATGCAGATGGAATATTGCTCACTGCGGTGTTATTTAAACAACCCTCATTCACTCACATGTTACAAAAAACGGTCAAAATGTTGCGTTTTCGCATTGATGCACTGGTGAATTTGGCCACTTTTTGCGTGTTTTGTAAGGGTGACAACGTGACAATGTCCCTCCAAGGATTCCATAGTATAAGAATGTTGTAAGTTGAATTGAAGTGAGTAAGTTTGGTTCATCGCAGCTTTGAACAGTATGGCGCCGACAAACCTCGAACGCTAACCAAATCTGACCGATTCTGGGATTCAAACCCACGACCATAAGTTTCTTGTACGTTTAGGTAGTGCCTTAGACGACTGGGCCACTCGTGCCCCGTAAAAAAACCGGGGGCACGGGTGGCCCAGTCGTCTAAGGCGCCGCAATTCGCTGGGCACGTCAGAAACCTATGATTGGGTTCGTATCCCGGTTCGCCCCGATTATATATCTAGGTTTGTCAGCACCATGCCGTGCTCGTGGGTTTCACCGAAGTGGTAAACGTCTGAGACCTGCATCACTTCGGCCTTTCCTCCCACATTAAGCTGAAACGCCGTGATATGACTGGAATACTGTTAAAAGCGGCGTTAAAAAACAAACTCACTCACTCACTCACTATTACAAAAAGCAAATGATAATTACGGGACAATTCCGAGTACGCATACTGAACTAAATAAGTAAGGGATCATGGATATTTTTGGGGATATGGTTTTGCAGTGAAGCGTACTGGTCGTCAAATTCTATTAAGATATCTTAGAATCTATTCATGATTTCTTACCTGGTTGTTTTCTAGTTTTATTACCGCATGGTATCCCAATTATGTTGATCGATGCTCATGATATCAATCACTGGATTGTCTGGTCCAGACTCGAATATTTACAGACCGCCGTCATATAGCTTTAATATATTGCTGAGTGCGGCGTTAAACAACAAACAAACGAAACGGGAGCCTGGTCATATATATATCCCACGTCGGTTATGTGAGAACTGGCCTATATGTCAACCAGCCTCGAGGCAAAAACCTGCGTCCTGTGTTATAAATACAGTAATTACATCACTGCTGTCTCTATGAGAAAGTAGGTCGTGACGTTATACATCACTGTTATCAAGCTATCTCTGTGGGAACGTCAGTCGTGAAGTCAAAACAAGTTCGGCAAGACACGTTGTTCTTGGGGGGATTTCTCAGCAAAGATCTAAATTAAAGCGACGAAACCCATTTCACAGCCACAAGAAATCTCTAAAAGCAGAGTCGGTTGTACGATTCAGACCAAGTATGAATCACTATCAAATAGTGACGATACCATGTGTTCGCGAAAAGGTGAGCGTATCCTGAGGCACCTGTGGCACCCGTCACAAACACATGCAAAGGCAAGTCAATTGTCCAGCTGAAAAAAACACGAGAACATGTGTAACATTGTAGGACTTACAAATGTACTGGTTTGTTTGGAACCGGCCATATTATTTTCTGTGCGTGTGTCTGGGGGGGGGGGGGGAGGGGTCGGACTAGAATTTGATAATAATGAAACGTTTTCTGGATGTCCCGAATGCAGTGATCTGTGAGCAAGTTGTGTTTGGCCTTTTCAAAAAGTGAAACACAGGAAAAAAACAAATAATAAATTATTTTGGACGTAATTCAAAATCAACATCTCGTTTTAAGTTCAAACATTCAGCGAATGGGCTATCGTGTCACGGGATTGTCTGGTCTACCTTTTGATTGTAAAGACAAGATAATTTATGGATGACAAATTATTTATTATGATGCACGACCTGTTTGTTTTAAATATATGACATTTGCATCCCTTTATCTTTTCAGTTGATTGAGACCCGTGAAGATACGGGGTAGAATAGATCTTCAGCAACCCATGCTTGCCGTAAAAGGCGACTATGCTTGTCGTAAAAGGCGACAAACGGGATCGGGTGGTCAGGCTCGCTGACTTGGTTGATGCAGGTCATCGATCCCAATTGCGTGGATCGATGCTCATGATATTAATCACTGGATTGTCTTGTAGGATTTCAGGGGATTTGGTATGTAGGCATCCACCCTTAACTTACAGTAGCCAGCACGTCGTGATTGTAAGAGGGATGGGGGACAAAAGGTGAATAAGTATGTGTTTATCTATATAATATGATTGTCTCTCTTAGTAGTGAATCGTAAATCATCAGAAGCTCCTTGTCAATGTAACTCTGATTCGATGTCAGTCTCGGACATGTCTGAGGAGTGAGTGAGTTGGGGTTAACGCCGCTTATAACATAATTCCAGTTATATCACGGCGTGACTGCTTAATGTGGGAGGAAATCCCGAAGTAATGCAGGTCTCAGACGTTTTCCACTTCGGTACAGTGAAACTCGGTGTATATGTATATTCAAACGGTTCAATTTTAAATATAAACTTCCAAGCCAAATAGTGATCGAAAAGGAAAAGTAAGATGTTCAGATTGGCATGACCTGCCGATTGATAGAATGGGCCCATCCTACCACCCATCTAGGCGAAGTAAGGGTCAAAATGGTCTATTAGGCAAAGGAACGCTTCTCCTGGAACCAACAGACTCCGGTCCTTCGCCGACACAGGAACACAACCCACGGTTGGTTGGTTGGTTTGTTGTTTAACGCCAAACTCAGCAATATTCCAGCTATATGACGGCGGTCTGTAAATAATCGAGTCTGGATCAGACAATCCAGTGATTAATATCATGAGCATCGATCCACGCAGTTGGAATCGATGACATGCATCAACCAAGTCAGCGAGCCTGATCACCCGATCCCGTTAGTCGCCTTTTACGACAAGCATAGTCACCTTTTACAACAAGCACGGGTTGCTGAAGTACTATTTTACCCCGGATCTTCAACCTACGGCAAACAGCTGCATGTTGCCCAATTTGGTCGCCTCTTACGACCAGCGATGTGGTGCTTGGGGCACATTCAACCCAAGTCCGCACGGGGACATATTGTGTGACATTTTATGACATCTTGTGTGCATCTTCTGAGACATATGGCTCACATATTGTACGACATATGCATGACATTGAATTACATAGAAAAGTTGTTACAAATCAATATTTTCTGCTGTGTACTTTTAAGGGAACATACGTTACACAAATATGCATAAAGATATAATTGAAATAATAATAACAATTGAAAACGACGAGTCTGTTTAATATCGGATTATCAAAATGGATATATACATCAGTCTTTTTGCTGATGATGAATGTACATATGAAAGACAATGAAATATAGTAAATGGAGTGTTCGAAGTAATACGAGAGGGTTATTATCCAAATTTGTATCCCTTTTGGTCCTGTTGAATAAACAAAAAATAAAACTTGAAAATTCAGACTGTTAGTGATTTAACAAGAAACGTCTAAACTTAGCAAATAGTTGGGTAAATTATGCCAACACAAAGAAACATAATTTTGAAATATTTCAAATACTCTGGAGAATCAGTGGAAATCTATTGTCCTTGGCGTAACCATTATAGTTACCGGTCTTTTTAGAGAAATATAAAGTAAATCCATTATTTCTTTCGGTGTATTATTGTAAAACTTATATTTTCCCTCAGCCTAGCAAAGAAAAAGAATAATATCACCACATTTTAAAACCTGGATTATCACTCGTTGTGAGTAAAAAAAGAAAAACATGATAATTTACTCTTCTCTGTGTCCCCCACATTACATTGGTTCCCCACTGAAAAATTAAGGATGAAAGTTAAGGGCTATCTCAAACTTTATAGATAGATAGAGATTACTGACATAAAAAGGGTACATATTTTGATAATGACCCGAGATCAAACACAATAAAAGCGTTGGTAGTAGGAATCCGAGTATATCATAGGTATGTGTTTATGAACCACTGTACGACAGAGATTAATCCAGTCTAAAATAAGAAATTGCATCGGACATCATGTTTGTGCGTCGAATTTGAAAATGTGATTCAAATGTCAACAGCAAACATTTTGGAACCTTTTACTGAGGCCTTGCATATTGCAACTACTGCTGTGCAAAGGTCGTAGGACGCTCTATCAACTTTCGATGTCACGCAAGTCTGACCACGCGATCAATTTAGTCGTATCCTACGAAAGTATAGGTTGCAGGAGGAAGAAGTATCTGGAAAGCTAAACTTCAGGGGTAGGTGCTATCATTATACGCACTTTTGCATTCGAAACGTGAAGATCCGGGGTAGAATAGGTCTTCAGCAACCCACGCTTGCCGTGAAAGGCGACTATGCTTGTCGTAAGAGGCGACTAACGGGATCGGGTGGTCAGGTTCGCTGACTTGATTGATGTATGTCGTTGATCCCAATTGCGCGGATCGATGTTCATGATATCAATCACTTGAATGTCTGGTCCAGACTCGATTATTTACAGACCGCCGTCATAGAGCTGGAATATTGCTGAGTGCGGCTTTAAAAAACAAACAAACAAACAAACAAACAAACAAACCTTCAATGTCAGTAATCTTTGCTTAGTACAAACGAGAATAATAGTTTTGACTGTTTGCTACCTTAAAAATTATACCAAAGGTGACCATGAGTAAGTTCAATAAAAGCCATATTAGCAGGAATAGAAAAAAAACTGTTCATAACAAATCAAACTATTATTATTCCAGCAAATGCGCTACACCTGCATAGCTGACAAACAAATGATGTCTTGCCTCGTCTTGTTATTAATCATAATGCTCTTGCATTATTCATGCTGTGACCTAGATATTCATGTGGTAATATATCATACCTCAAGCTCGCTGGTTATGTCCTTTGTTTTACATGTGCAAAAACATATCAATATGGTACCTCTTCAAAGGTCAGGGGCGGTCGGGTAGCCTAGTGGTTAAGGCGTTCGCTCGTCAAGCCGAAGACCCGCGTTCGAATCCCGAAATGGGTACAATGTGTGAAGCCAATTTCTGTTGTCCCCCGCCGTGATATTGCTGGAATATTGCTAAAAGCGGGGTTAAACTATATTCACTCACTTATTCATAAGTGGTCAAGCTATCGATATTAACCGGTTAACTAAGCGGTTCTACAAGCCAGCGTTTCATAACGTCAAAACGTTTCACTTGCTCGAAACGTCACAGTTGACTCTGATAGTTGGGCTGGGAAGGTTGAAATGTCCGTACTGGTGGATTACATAATTGTTATTGTTTCTTTGATAATATCTGTTGTATAGTGTTTAAGAACCTCCGGATCTGTAAATGAAGCAAGGGTGTGACCTCTTGAGTTTACGGCACAACAGCAGCTACTCCTGCACAAACGCTTGAAGCGCATCTTTGCAGCAGAGGTTGACTCAGCACAGTGTCATTTTGTTCGTGATGATGTGATGTGTTAACCCTTTATGAGCTGTCGGGGTTCTTCTGGTAAGAGACCAAATAGCTCTCTGATCTGGGCTTATCACCTTTGCCTCCCTCTTTTCGCCATATTGATGAGATTTCCTCAATCGTTCTGCCTTTCGTTTCTGGTAAGAACATGAATACGAATATCCAAAACAATATGATCATAACGGTAAAGGGCACGAAGGAGTAGCTCCCCAGTCCTTTCTGGAAAGACAAAACAAAAGAATACATCTTAGAAAATGTCGAACGAGAAATAAATGTCGTTTTGCGTACTCATATGTATGCTGTCATAAGAAAAATGTTTGTTTGTTTGTTGTTTAACATCGCATCCAGCAATATTCCAGCTATATGAATTCAGTCAGTAAATAATTAAATATGTACCAGACAATCCTATGATCTTGATCGTCGATCCACGACATTTGGATATGAGTGAGTGAGTGAGTTAAAATTTCACGTCACATCGGCATTATCTCAGCCATATATCGACGAGACCAAGTTAATATATTGACAATTTAGTCATTAATGCAAAATTTTGTTTAAAAACAAGTTGGATATGATGACATGCATGTCACCGAACCTGACCACCCGATCCCGATCTTACGACAAGCATATGTTGCTGGAGACCTCTATTCTTACCCTGGTTTGTTTGTTTGTCGTTTAACGCCAAACTCAGCAATATTCCAGCTATATGACGGCGGTCTGTAAATAATCGAGTCTGGACCATACAAGTCAGTGATTGACATTATGAGTATCGATCCACGTAATTGGGATCGATGCCATGCATCAACCAAGTCAGCGAGCCTGACCACCGAACCAGTTAGTCGCCTTTTACGACAAGCATAGTCACCTTTTACGGCAAGCATGGGTTGCTGAAGACCTATTCTACCCCGGAATCTTCACGGGTCCCACGAAATTGGGATATGATGACATGCAAGTCACCGAACCTGACCACACGATCCCGTTAGTTGCCTTTTACGACAAGCATAGTCGCCTTTTTCGGCAAGCATGGGTTGCTGAAGACGTATTCTACCCCGGATGTTCACGGGTCTCTTACCCTGGATCCTCACGGGTCAACTGGAATTTACATATCTATGTAAATTGAGATCCTGTATCGAAAATAGGGGACTTTTAGTATTTTTACCTGCATCTGGGGGAAGGCGTAACCCACACAGAAGTTGGCCACCCAGTTGACGAGGACAGAGACACTGATGGCGGACGATCTCGGCCCCTGGGAGAACAACTCAGCCACTATCAACCAGGGTATGGAGCCTTGAAATGAGAAGAATAAATTGTGTTTGACAAAAACTAACCGTTAACATGTTTTAATTAAATTACTTTTAATAAAAGTGTGAGTGAGTATTGTTTTACGCCACTTTAAGCAATAAGTATTCCAACAGTATCACGGAGGGGGACACCGGAAATGGGCTTCAAACATTGTACCCATGTGGGGAATTGAACTCGGGCCTTCGATGTGACGAGAGAACGCTTTAACTACTAGGCTACCCCACCGCTCTTTAACTCATGATTTTAACCAAGTGCTAAAATTAGTTGTCACACCTTATAGGTCTAATCAATACCTTACATATTACACGGGCAACGATGGCCAACGTAACCACGGCTCCTCGAAGTGCTGAGCAGAGTTGCATCCCTTGGGCGTGCCAGGAACTTATGATTGTTGTTTGGAATCCCATATTAGACATCATTATGATTCTAGGTTTGTCAGAACCATACCTATGCTCGTTGGTTTCAAAGTGGTAAACGTCTAAGACCTGCATAGCTTCGTGCTTTCACTCTGTGATTTAACTGTAGTGTTTGAAGCGGTGGAAAATCTAATTCAGTCACTCATTTATTATATCGTTTTAGAGGAGGTCACTTTGCCCACGTACCTGGTCCAAGGGCGAAGAAGACGACAAACAGGAGAGACGTAGCGATGCTTGCCACTTTAAACCACTCTACCCGGTCCTGGAATACAATGAACTTTTAGGTTTGTCGTTCATATATAAAAAAAAACACACGATGTTTATGCTAATGTGCATCTTCCCGGGGCAGAGCTGTCAACTGTCGATAAAAGTCCAGAACGACCCGTTTTATTACAATAAATATCATGATTATTGATCAGATCGTTTTGTCTGGGCGCCGCCATTTTGTTTGAAGCAAATGCAAGGGATATGAGAGGCGGAATTTGATTGGTCAGTAGGAGGACATAGAAGGGACGTAACTCGTAATAGTCACCAGCGGCGCTACGATCGAGCCACGGAATTCCAGCTTTGTTCGGCAGGGGTGGAAACTGGACTTATTTAGTCAGTTATCTCCCTTGCCTCGGGAGGATGGCTAATGTTAGAGAGGGTAAATTAGTCATCATGACAGAACTTTCCCTCAGGCACTTTTGTCAATCTATTATTAGACGATAGCCGTATTTGGAAAGCCAGGTCCAATCTCTGAAAAGGACCCTAATATATAAAAATTGAAAGTACCACTTACTTTTAAATTGCATCTTGTTTGTATAAGAGAAACATTATGCTAATGAAATGTGCATTTATTCTTGACATGGCTTGAGTAATCGTAATTGTTTATCATAGTTTCTACATAATCCTCTTCCAACTCACCAGAAGTGAGAGGCACACTGTAATTAAAATGCTAGACACGGCCATTCCGCCTAGACCAATGAGATGCAGTGTCCGTCGACCAACCCGGTCCATGAGTGGAATCGTCACCAGTGTCATGACAACCATGACAGCTCCAACCCCGCTCGTGGCGTGTGTGGCTGTGGATTCATCTAGCCCTGCCCCCTTGAACAGGTTCCCCGAGTAGTAGAAGATCTGTAATAAAAACACGAGTGTACTGAATTATGTCACCTTATAGTACACCCTCAGATGAGTGAGTGAGTGAGTATGGTTTTACGCCGCTTTTAGCAATATTCCAGCAATATCACGGCGGGGGACACCAGAAATGGGCTTCACACATTGTACCCATGTCGGGAATCGAACCCGGGTCTTCGGCGTGACCAGCGAACACTTTAACCACTAGGCTACCCGACCGCCCCACCCTCAGATGAAGAAGCTAGTCATATTTGTTAGTTTAAGGTGTGTTGGTTACATTTTTAAAGCGCAGAGATCGGAAGGTCGGTGGTTCGATCCGCGGCCGCGTCAAACAAAAAGGCGGTAAAGATAGTACGTGTTGTTACCCTTCTTGGGGATCGGCATCTTGAGGATAAAACAGGGACGGTCATGTCGGAGACAGTACACTGTGTCTGAGTTGGGTGTCCCTGTTAAACTGCGACATGGTAGACCAAACTCTAACAATTCACTTGGAATTGTGTATAAAACAGTACCGTATATGAGAAGAATCCTGTGTGACATCGCTTGAACTCACCGAAATCATAAGTGAGTGAGTGAGTTGGGTTTAACGCCGCTTTTAACAGTATTCCAGTTATATCGCGGCGTGTCAGCTTAATGTGGGAGGAAAGCCCGAAGTGATGCAGGTCTCAGACGTTTACCACTTCGGTGAAACCCACGAACACGGGTAAGGTGCTGACAAACCTAGAAACATAATCGGGGCGAACCGGGATTCGAACCCACAATCATAGGTTTCTGGCGTGCCCAAGGGACGCAAACCAAAATCATATGATGATTAACATGTTATACTTGACGCTTCTCAAATTCTGTGGCAGTTCCTATTCATCTAAGTGCGCACTATAGTTTCTTCAGAACTATGTTACCATCTGTATCCATGTTTCTGTCGGTGCGCTTGGACCAAATGGGTTATTAGTGTACTTCTGGACTATGTATCAATGGTAAGATGCCACTTTGATAAACGTCTTTGCTTGAATCACGTGACTTACCGCGACAATTCCCGAGAGTTGCTGCGAGAGGTGCATGACGATACTGATCAGAAGGGGCATGCGCAGAGATCGCTTCTGAAACAGCTTGATAACGCTAACCTGAAATATATGTCAATAAAAAAATTGTTCATTTTAAGAATTGACCTCATTATGTTTTCTGCGTTTGAGTAGGTACAAACGTGAAACACGGATTACACACTGTAAATCCGCAAAATCTGCACATCGCTTCTAACGTTTATACCAACATCAAATCATATTAAAGACCCACCCATTCTATAATAAGCCAATCAATGGATTTCGGTTTGTGGAAACATAAGTGCAAACAAAAATGGTTGGTACGCCAATCAAATGCCACGGAATCATATGCAATTTAATTATTTTGAAGACAATATTTGTGTTCTTTGTTAAGTCTTTAACGCGTCTGTATCAAATGCAAATTGCATGTATTATGTTTGTAACAGACGGTGTATATTACTGTTTAATCAGTGCTGACCGATCTTAAGTTCCTCCAATCATAATCCAGACTTACCTTGGCCTCGCTTTGAGCTTGTTCCGCCTCGATTCTCATCTCCGATATCTCAGCATCAACGTCTTCGATTCCGCGAAGCGACTGCAGCGCTAAAAATGTTTTTGGGGTTACAGAAAATATATAGGCTCATAATTTGAACGAAAAGTTTTGGGTTTTGCAGATGTAGCTGAAAAAATATCTTGCCTCCTTACAAAATCTCACCAATCAAGGAAGCCGGGAGATGCTTTGAGGTTTTACTTCTGTCAAGTTATAAGACCAACGGTTTTACCCCGGATCTTCACGGGTCGTTTTTACGTTGCATCAACATGGCCAAAGTAATGTAGTGGTCGCTGCTTCACCCAAACACCGGGTTGCACAGGGAAGGAATTCTTTGTGGTTCTGATGTCTGTTTGTATGCTGTTTAACGCCGCACTCAGCAATATTCCAGCTATATGACGACGGTCTGTAAATAATCGAGTCTGGACCAGACAATCCAGTGATTGATATCATGAGCATCGATCCACGCACTTGGGATACGATCACATGCATCAACCAAGTCAGCGAGCCTGACCAACCGATCCCGTTAGTCGCCTTTTACGACAAGCATAGTCGCCTTTTACGACAAGCATAGTCGCCTTTTACGGCAAGCATATGTTGCTGAAGACTTATTCTACCCCGGATCTTCACGGGTCGGTTTTACGTTGAATCGTAAAAAAGACCTGCATTGATGTTTTACATTTGAACTATGTCAAAGTAACTAGCCTCTAAGGTTTATATTTGACTGGTTAAAAGTCAAGATAGTTTTCACATGAAAATTCCAAGACTTGAATCAAATCTGAAGCCACATATCATGTTTGGTATTTTAACCCAGTGTTTTTCGGGTCTGGGGAATAAGTTCAGTAAACTACGGTTATAACGAACACGCTTATAACGAACTGACGGATATAACGAACTTACTTTTTGGTCCCGACTACTTGCTGTAGTCATTCTGTAATTGTACTTATAACGAACTACGGTTATTACGAACTAAAATTAGTAGTCCCTTTGAGTTCGTTATAACCGTAGTTTACTGTTAACGTTTACTGTGCACAACGCTTGTGACAACATGTGTCGCTCATCAGTTTGTGCACATGCACTGCCGATGAGGGTTGAGGTAACAAATAAATACAACATAATTGATAAATGTGAGAATCAATCTAAGAAGATGTCGGTTCATGAATCGCTTCACGAAGTCATATTCGGGGGGGATGATTCAAAAGTAACAATATCCCTCCTCGAGGTTCCCCCCTCCCGCCAAGACTTCATTCTCGGTTGCGAACCTTGACATAAATTGTTTTCTTGTGATTTGCACAGAAACATGGACAAACCTGTTCGTGCATCTTGTTCTCTGCCTTTTGCGATTAGTAGATGTCGTGGACTCTCCGGGCAGAATGGCATCACTATTAGCTGTACCACGCACGGTATTGCCGTCAAACCTGGACGAGAATAACATAAAGACGAATGCGTGAGTGTTTGTGTGATTGTTTATTTGTTTTTTAACGCCGGCCTCAGCAATATTCCAGCGGTTTGTGGATAATTGAATCTGGACCAGACAATCTAGTGATTGGCGTCATGAGCATCGATCCATGCAATTAAGATACGATGACATACATCAACCAAGTCAGCGAGCCTGACCACCCGATCCCGTTAGTCGCCTCGTACGACGAGCATTGTCGCCTTTTACGGCAAACATGGGTTGCTGAAGACCTATTCTACCCAGGATCTTCACGGGTCGCATGCGTAAGTGCGTGTTAGTGAGTGATTTGGGGTTAACACCGCTTTTAACAGTATTTCAGTTGTATGACGGTGTCTCAGCTTAATGTGAGAGGAAAGTCCTGAGTATGGTTTTATGCCGCTTTTAGAAATATTCCTGCAATATCACAGTGGGGGGACACCAGAAATGGGCATCACACATTGTAGCCCTATGGGGAGTCAACCTCGGGTCTTCGGCATGACGAGACAACGCTTTAACCACTAGGCCACCACACCGCCCACTGGTCTCAGTTTACCATTAAGATTAAACCCACTAGCACGGGCCTGGTGTTACCGAACCTCGAAACTTAATCGGTGCGAACCAGGATTTGAACCCACAATCAAAGGTTTCTGACGTGCTCAAGGTACGCAACGCATAGGAAATAATGAGACAGTGAGTTGGGTTTAACGCCGCTATTAACATTATTCAAGTCATATCGCGGCGTGCCAGCTTAATGTGGGAGGAAAGCCATATGTGATGCAGGTCTTAGACGTTTACCACTTCGGTGAAACCCACGAGCACGGGTATGGTGCTGACAAACCTAGAAACATAATCGGGGCGAACCGGGATTCGAACCCACAATCAGAGGTTTCCGGCGTGCCCAAGGGTCGCAACTCTGCATTCGGCCACCCGTGCCCAATTGGAAATAATGATTTACACCACGTTTCCAATCCGTTGTTCATCTATTCTCGACAACAAATGGTAAATTTCTTCCAATATTGCAATATCACTTAGGGGCAGCATTGCACTTTTACATAGCCTCTGTAATTTATAAGATAATTTTCTTTAGTTTGTCAAAATGTTTTAGAGACACGATTATACTTGGCAATAAATCACATTAAACAGGTAAAATATTTTATCCAGAAATCGTGAGACGTCCGTATAACAGCCTATACTTCAAACTAAATGATCATATTTGTATTATGCGAATAATTTTTGCGAAACATAAAATAATAAAATAAAAAAAGTCGCATCGCATAATTTTAAGATTCCACATTATTACCAAGAAATGATGAATTCTGATTCTGGACTTGATTTGATCATAAAAAAGACCTTCCAAGATACGTGTTCGTGTGAACTTACATTTGACGTATTTGTGGATAAGATATTATCATTCTTACCCAAGAGAATGTCCCAGTATTCCTTGTTTCCTAATATCTCGGGGAAGCCGAGAATTTGCGAGATTAGAATACCGGAAACGACAAACAGCTGATGCAGTACACCCAGAGCTCCTCGGATGTTTACTGATGCGATCTCGCTCAGGTAGATGGGTGCTAGTGCCGTGTAGAGACCTGAAAGCATGTACGATATATCTTGTAAATGCGCTATCGTGTCACTGGATTGTCTGGTAGATCAATGGAATCTATTTCAGCGTGTAATCGAGACCATCTTCCCGAGGCTAGCATGTCCACTAGCCTATATCAAAGCCGCGTTTCCAACACTGCCACATCAAGGCCACTTTTATTGGCTCGACCCTGGCGCCACCTCGCGTAGATCACGAGTTGTGCCCCTTGTAATGAAAACGCGATATCCAATCAGATTGCTGTTCTTAACACGTATAGCTTCTCAGAGATGGCGACTACCATAGGCGACGACCTAGTCGATCAGATAACGAAAACATTCGCGATTTTATCCCTGACACAAAACGACATTGGCAATCATTGGGATTTTCTAAGCGGTAAATCACTTTCATACGAAGCTGTACCAGTCGTGGATGTTATATTTGTGAAACGTTCTCTGATTGGACTATCGATATGTGCGCTGTATGTATATGTGTGTGTGTGTGTGTGTGTGTGTGTGTGTGTGTGTGTGTGTGTGTGTGTGTGTGTGTGTGTGGATGGATGGATGGATGGATGGATGGATGGATGAATGCATGAGTAGTAGGCTTCATGTGGTAAGGGTGGAAACAAGACTTTGATAAAAAGGCTAGTGGACGTTCTCAGCTCGGGAAGATGAATCAAGTTTGTTATCTGGCGTTGACGTTGTATACTTACCGTATTCGACGTAATCAGCGCCCCGCTCTAATAAGTGCCCACGGCGATATTTGCAAAATATATTAGCTAGTGAACAATCCCAAATAGCACCCCTTTCGACTGATGAATGTACACATACTTATTTATTCTTGTATAATACGCACTCGTGTGTTATATGCACCCTTAATTATGGGCAATTAAATTCTGAAAAAAATATATCTGTCGTATATAAACATTTCAGGATGTCAGCATAAACCACGAAATTTACGATCTTTCAACTCTGTTTTTTTTCACCAAAAAAATATTTTAATACGAGACCTCTATTTCTAATTTTGAGAGTGCCCTGGGCGCTTATTCATCGAATACGGTATATTTTGGGAAAAAATGTAAAAGAAATACAAGATATCCCGTATAACTCTTCTCCATAGGCTAGATAGGAGCAAGATCCTATAGCCCTCGCCACTTAAAACAGAATCACGAAATATCGCGATGAATAATTAACTAAGATAGCTGGATGTATGCTTATATTAACAAACTGAAAACAATCCATTCCGCCGATAGGGAACATTCCTCAAAGTAATGACAAAAATTGCAAAGTGCGTTTTTCAAGAAATATCCGTTTTGTAAGCGATAAACATTATCATTGACTTTTTATCACAATCAGAATCAGGTAGATAGAAATTCAAATAGATGAGGTGAGGTGAAATTGAGTTTAACGTCGCGTCCAAGATTATTGCACTTATATAGCAACGTGCATGCACGCGTGTGTGTGTGACTGCTTGTACTGGTCCGGACTGATGCCGATTTATAGTGCTAGCCCACTGATATACTATGCCGCAGTTTAACATGAATACCCCTCCCAGACACAGTACGCTGACTCCGAGCCGACAAGACCTTGTTTTAGCCCCTTAATGCCGAGCGCCAGACAGGGTAACAACAAGTACCATCTTTGAACGTCTTTTGGTATGACGCGGCCGGGTATCGAACTCCGGACCTACCGCTCTCCGGGCGGACGCTCTACCTCTTGACCACGGAGGCGGTCGAACCTTCAAATAGACATACCACAGTTGAATCCCACGACCAGCCTCCCGACAATGATCATCTCATAGGTCGCCGCCATACGCCCGAAGTACAGCAGAGCGGCAGCGCCAATGCCTATCACTGCGTTAATCAGAGAGCCATTCTTTCTGAAAATGACAACATAATATATCTTATCACTTAATATTTCATGGTGATCGTCATAAAAAATTATTTTGGAAGACTATAGAAACTATACTTTTCTAGGCATACATTTCAATTTTTCCACGAGACACGTCACAATGTGTTTGTCTTAGGATGTTCTGGTTTGCAGAGATAAGAAAATAATGGTGTTATAACTTTATTCTAATTGCAATACACGCAGTCATGTCACACATATCAACAAATACTACAGGTGCCTCGGTCAACAGGGTACGTCAGGTTCATGGTAGGTCACGTACAATGTACATCGGATACTGGGTGTTTCATTCTAAGAGTCAGTCTACAAAGTACGTCACATTCATAGTAAGACACGTACAATGTACATCGAAAACTCTATACGTTATACAGATAGTCAGTCTACAAGGTACGTCACATTCATAGTTGGTCACGTAAAGGTACACTGAAAACTGTATACGTTATACAGATAGTCAGTCTACAAGGTACGTAACATTCATAGTTGGTCAAGTACAAGGTACACTGAAAACTGTATACGTCATACAGAGAGTCAGCCTACAAGGTACGTAACATTCATAGTAAGTCACGTACAAGGTACACTGAAAACTGTATACGTTATACAGAGAGTCAGTCTACAAGGTACGTCACATTATAGCAGGTCACGTACAAGGTACATCGAATACTTGATACGTTATACAGAGAGTCAGTCTACAAGGTACGTCACATTCATAGTAGGTCACGTACAAGGTATATCGAATACTGGATACGTTATACAGATAGTCAGTCTACAAGGTACGTCACATTCATAGAAGGTCACGTACAAGGTACATCGAATACTGAATACGTCATACTAAGAGTCCGTCTACTGGGTATGTCAATTTCATGGTAGGTCACGCACAGGATACGCCACGTTCATGACACGTCACGTATGATGTATTTCATGTACAGGTTTGTGTTTAATAGTTGTGCCAGAATCTGAATTCGCGAACGAGCAAATAAATACCTTGTCATCAAGAGCAACACATGTTGTATGAACGTAAACCCACCGGCCAAAGTAATCTGCCCACAGACCCGCCAACAAACCCCCGACAGCGCCACCGATGGCAAAGGCTGCCACCAGGACGGCAAACAGGTTGGTCTGAGTGTCCACGTCCATCTCTTGACCGTCACGTGATATGTCTGTGGCGTTCATGAAATCCTTGATCCTCTGAAAAATAATGTCAAAATCGTAAATATGTGTATATGCCCTGTGACTGAATGAGCTGGGTGTAACGACGCTTTTAACAGTATTCAGGTATATTACGGACACGTGAAGATCCGGGGTAGAATAGGTCTTCAGCAACCCATGCTTGCCGTAAAAGGCGACTATGCTTGTCGTCAAAGGCGACTAACGGGATCGGGTGGTTAGGCTCGCTGACTTGGTTGATGTATGTCATCGATCCCAATTGCCTGGATCGATGCTCATGATATCAATCACTGGATTGTCTGGTCCAGACTCGATTATTTACAGACCGCCGTCATATAGCTGGAATATTGCTGAGTGCGGCGTTAAACAACCAACCAACCAACCATGGGTTGTGTCCCTGTGTCGGTGAAGGACCGGAGTCTGTTGGTTGAGGGAACTGGTTCCAGGAGTTGCGTTTTTTTGCCTAATAGACCACTTTGACCCTTACTTCGCCTAGACTGGTGGTAGGATGGGCCCATTCTATCAATCGGCAGGTCATGCCAATCTGAACATCTTACTTTTCTTTTTCGATCACTATTTGGCTTGGAAGTTTATATTTAAAATTGAACCGTTTGAATATACATATAGACCGATTTTCAATATACCGAAGTGGTAAACGTCTGAGACCTGCGTCACTTCGGGTTTCCTTCCACATTAAGCTGACACGCCGCGATATAACTTGAATAATGTTATAAGCGGCGTTAAACCCAACTCACTCACTCCTCAGACATGTCCGAGACTGACATCGAATCAGAGTTACATTGACAAGGAGCTTCTGATGATTTACGATTCACTTCTAAGAGAGACAGTCATATTATATAGATAAACACATACTTATTTACCCTTTGTCCCCCATCCCTCTTACAGTTACGACGTGCTGGCTACTGTAAGTTAAGGGTGGATGCCTACATACCAAATCCCCTGAAATCTTACAAGACAATCCAGTGATTAATATTATGAGCATCGATCCACGCAATTGGGATCGATGACCTGCATCAACCAAGTCAGCGATGCATGCTCATGATGTCAATCACTGGATTGTCTGGTCCAGACTCGATTATTTACAGACCGCCGTCATATAGCTGGAATATTGCTGAGTGTGGTGTTAAACAACAAACAAACAAACAGTTATATTCATGTTGGTTATTGCTGTCGTTTACAGCTTTGGTGACACCTACGAGCACGTGTATGCTGCTGTCAATTCTAGAAACATAATCAGAGCGAACCGTGATTCGAATCCACGATCCAAGGGACACAACTCTGCACAGTGAATTGCGGCGCCTCAGACGGCTGAGCCATCAGTGTTCCCTGAATTTCGAAGGATATACATGGACGTGCAGCTCGTGAAACCCCGTACATCCCGCTTTTGACACATGTCACGAATTATCACTACGAGTACACAGGTTACAAAAAGGAAATTCTATGAATGTTTGTGACAATACTATCTATAAGTGTGTATCACTTCAAAATGCCCCTGAAACCACCGTCGGACTTTAGAGCGAACAGGGTCAATTGTGACACGACAAGCAAGGCACGATGCATCAAACATAATGTCAATAAGAGAATTATAACGAACATCATTTGTGTCACTGATGGGTCAAATTTGGAGTGAGTGAGTGAGTGAGCATGGTTTTACGCCGCTTTTAGCAATATTCCAGCAATATCACAGCGGGGGACACCAGAAATTGGCTTCACACATTGAACCCATGTCGGAAATCGAACCCGGGTCTTCGGCGTGACGAGCGAACGCTAGAACCACTAGGCTACCCGACCGACCCCAAATTTGGAAATGTCCTCGATATGTTTACCATAATACGTTTTGAAAGCTTTATTAAGGCCTTCAAGGCTGTAACCCGGCTCACACAACTTTTAAGAAACGTTAAGCTGATACATAGCAATGGAGAACGATGTAGGCAGGTCATGGGAGCATTCCAGTCTAGTTAACTTCGCAAGGAGCGTAGCAATCCAGGAATAACAATCGAACCATTTTGACCCGAAACATATTTCCAGTGGGACTGTGATATAAAATGTCCAGGCCTGAACGCATCCAGAAACATTCGGGGAGCTCTGGGGATACTGCTTCAGATGCTTGTCGTTTCCGGTTTTCTAATCTCGCACATTTCTACCGGTGGCATAAAAGGATCATCGTCCCAAGGCAAAAGAGTTTACTGACTATAAAAGTTCAGTTTCTAACCTTGCCGAACTTGGCTGGTATTTTAGAGTTCAATTCTGGCTGGCTGTGCAAAGTTCAATTAAAATCGCGTGACGATATCGACATCCGGTTCGTAAAGTTCAGTGCACATTTCGAACAATTGCAGAATTTGAAGACCATGTGTACTGTCAACTGGGCTTCGACAGATATTTTTCATATCTTTTCATATTTTTAATCAAGGTGCTCAACTGATTTGATGCATTTTGCGAAGTCCCGTTATTACAAAAAAACGTCATAATTAGCGATTAGATTGTCTTGTCTGGGTGCCGCCATTTTGTTCGAAGCAAATGCAAGTGATGTGAGTGGCGTAATTGGATTGGTCGGTAGGAAGACATAGAAGGGACGTAACTCGAAATAGTCACATGCGGCGCTACGATCGAGCCACGGAATTCAAGCTTAGTTCGACAAGGGTGGAAAGTGGACTTTTATAATAGGTTAACTCCCTTGCCTCTGGAAGATGAAAGAAGATTTTCCTTAAAAAAATGTTATTGTTTGTTGCCTGACGCAGCACAGCAGTAGTCTAGGTTTAAAACGGCGTCATGTAAACAATCGACCAGACAATCCAGGATAGAGCATTTGCTTGCCATGTATTGTTGGCCCTTAAACTTTGATCACGTGACTCATGAACACGAACGTTATCTAGGTGTTTATGACATAGGCATTCCTCGGTGCATGTGGGCTGTGGCAATAGACACGTGGGTGGGAGATTCACCTCGTCACTGACCGTACCCTGGCCTCAAGTAGCCTTGATCCGGGTGGTCGCGATCTTGGTATCACTATCCGATAAGTATGCAATTGGGACCACCTAGCAATGCTAGCCGGCGCTACTTCTTATGAATCCCTATATGTCAATACTATGCCTAATATACAACTACAGGCCTTCTTAGTGGTGTACAACTACAGGCCTTCTTAGTGATGTACAACTACAGGCCCCCTTAGTGATGTACAACTACAGGCCTTCTTAGTGAAATACAACTACAGGCCTTTTTAGTGATGTACAACTACAGGCCTTCTTAGTGATGTACAACTACAGGCATTTTTAATTATTTAGATCTACAGACCTTCTTAGTGATGTACAACTACAGGCATTTTTAATTATTTAGATCTACAGACCTTCTTAGTGATGTACAACTACAGGCAGTTTTAATTATTTAGATCTACAGACCTTCTTAGTGGTGTACAACTACAGGCCTTCTTAGTGGTGTACAACTACAGGCCTTTTTAGTGGTGTACAACTACAGGCCTTCTTAGTGATGTACAACTACAGGCAGTTTTAATTATTTAGGTCTACAGACCTTCTTAGTGATGTACAACTACAGGCCTTTTTAGTGATGTACAACTACAGGCATTTTTAATTATTTAGATCTACAGACCTTCTTAGTGATGTACAACTACAGGCAGTTTTAATTATTTAGATCTACAGACCTTCTTAGTGATGTACAACTACAGGCAGTTTTAATTATTTAGATCTACAGACCTTCTTAGTGGTGTACAACTACAGGCCTTCTTAGTGGTGTACAACTACAGGCCTTTTTAGTGGTGTACAACTACAGGCCTTCTTAGTGATGTACAACTACAGGCAGTTTTAATTATTTAGGTCTACAGACCTTCTTAGTGATGTACAACTACAGGCCTTTTTAGTGATGTACAACTACAGGCATTTTTAATTATTTAGATCTACAGACCTTCTTAGTGATGTACAACTACAGGCAGTTTTAATTATTTAGATCTACAGACCCTCTTAGTGATGTACAACTACAGGCCTTCTTAGTGGTGTACAACTACAGGCCTTCTTAGTGATGTACAACTACAGGCCTTTTTAGTGATGTACAACTACAGGTCCTCTTAGTGATGTACAACTATAGGACATTTTAGTGATGTACAACTATAGGCCATTTTAGTGATGTACAACTACAGGCCTTCTTAGTGATGTACAACTACAGGTCCTCTTAGTGATGTACAACTACAGGCCTTCTTAGTGGTGTACAACTACAGGCCTTCTTAGTGATGTACAACTACAGGCCTTTTTAGTGATGTACAACTACAGGTCCTCTTAGTGATGTACAACTATAGGCCATTTTAGTGATGTACAACTATAGGCCATTTTAGTGATGTACAACTACAGGCCTTCTTAGTGATGTACAACTACAGGCCTTCTTAGTCATGTACAACTACAGGCCTTCTTAGTGAAATACAAATACAGGCCTTTTTAATGATGTACACCTACAGGCCTTCTTAGTGATGTACAACTACAGGTCCTCTCAGTGATGTACAACTACAGACCTTCTTAGTGATGTACAACTACAGACCTTCTTAGTGATGTACAACTACAGGTCCTCTTAGTGATATACAACTACAGGCCTTCTTAGTGATGTACAACTACAGGTCCTCTTAGTGATGTACAACTACAGGTCCTCTTAGTGATGTATAACAACAGGCCTTCTTAGTGATGTACAACTACAGGTCCTCTTAGTGATGTACAACTACAGGTCCTCTTAGTGATGTACAACTACAGGCAGTTTTAATTATTTAGATCTACAGACCTTCTTAGTGATGTACAACTACAGGCCTTTTTAGTGATGTACAACTACAGGCATTTTTAATTATTTAGATCTACAGACCTTCTTAGTGATGTACAACTACAGGCAGTTTTAATTATTTAGATCTACAGACCCTCTTAGTGATGTACAACTACAGGCCTTCTTAGTGGTGTACAACTACAGGCCTTCTTAGTGATGTACAACTACAGGCCTTTTTAGTGATGTACAACTACAGGCCTTCTTAGTGAAATACAACTACAGGCCTTCTTAGTGATGTACAAGTACAGGTCTTCTCAGCGATGAACAACTACAGGTCCTCACAGTGATGTACAACTACAGGCCTTCTTAGTGATGTACAACTACAGGCCTTTTTAGTGATGTACAACTACAGGCCCTCTTAGTGATGTACAACTACAGGTCCTCTTAGTGATGTACAACTATAGGCCATTTTAGTGATGTACCACTATAGGCCATTTTAGTGATGTACAACTACAGGCCTTCTTAGTGATGTACAACTACAGGCCTTCTTAGTCATGTACAACTACAGGCCTTCTTAGTGAAATACAAATACAGGCCTTTTTAATGATGTACAACTACAGGCCTTCTTAGTGATGTACAACTACAGGTCTTCAAAGTGATGTACAACTACAGGCCTTCTTAGTGATGTACAACTACAGGCCTTCTTAGTGATGTAAAACTACAGGTCTTCAAAGTGATGTACAACTACAGGCCTTCTTAGTGATGTACAACTACAGGCCTTCTTAGTGATGTACAACTACAGGCCTTCTTAGTGATGTACAACTACAGGTCCTCTTAGTGATGTACAACTACAGGTCCTCTTAGTGATGTACAACAGGCCTTCTTAGTGATGTACAACTACAGGCCTTCTTAATGATGTACACCTACAGGCCTTCTTAGTGATGTACAACTACAGGTCCTCTCAGTGATGAACAACTACAGACCTTCTTAGTGATGTACAACTACAGACCTTCTTAGTGATGTACAACTACAGGTCCTCTTAGTGATGTACAACTACAGGCCTTCTTAGTGATGTACAACTACAGGTCCTCTTAGTGATGTACAACTACAGGTCCTCTTAGTGATGTACAACAACAGGCCTTCTTAGTGATGTACAACTACAGGCCTTCTTAATGATGTACACCTACAGGCCTTCTTAGTGATGTACAACTACAGGTCCTCTCAGTGATGAACAACTACAGACCTTCTTAGTGATGTACAACTACAGACCTTCTTAGTGATGTACAACTACAGGTCCTCTTAGTGATGTACAACTACAGGCCTTCTTAGTGATGTACAACTACAGGTCCTCTTAGTGATGTACAACTACAGGTCCTCTTAGTGATGTAAAACTACAGACCTTCTTAGTGATGTACAACTACAGACCTCCTTAGTGATGTACAACTACAGGTCTTCTCAGCGATGAACAACTACAGGCCTTTTTAATGATGTACATCTACAGACCTTCTTAGTGATGTACAACTACAGGCCTTCTTAGTGATGTACAACTACAGGCCTTCTTAGTGATGTACAACTACAGGCCTTCTTAGTGATGTTCAACACGTCAACACGTGCTGTTGAACTTTCACGAGTGTTGCTGTACATAACAATGCCTACAAAGCTCCGCCCTTGATAAGAGTCCACTGATATATGTCGGGGAGAGAGGTGACTTGCAGTTTTCTCAAGAAATCATAAGTGATGTGCGTCCTTTAATTGGATCTAGTTGTAATGCACTAAGGTCAGATGAGTCTGCTGTATAAATAGCCCCTATAAATCCCAGTCAACAAGGTGGGTACTTTCGGAAGGAACCGGTGCGTAATATTTTGCCAAGATATGTATAAGAGTGCGTTCAGTACAATGCCCATGCATAGGTTGGTTGGTTTGGTTGGTTTGTTGTTTAACGCCGCACTCAGCAATATTCCAGCTATATGACGGCGGTCTGTTAATAACCGAGTCTTGACCAGACAATCCAGTGATTTAATATCGTGAGCATCGATCCACGCAATTGGGATCGATGACATGCATCAAACAAGTCAGCGAGCCTGACCACCCGATCCCGTTGGTCGCCTCTTACGACATAATATAACAAGCATAGTCGCCTTTTACGGCAAGCATGGGTTGCTAAAGACCTATTCTACCCCGGATCTTCACGGGTCTCACACAGAGGTACCGGTATAATATTATAATAATATCCCCATTAACTGAACCGTCTACTGACGTTAATAAAACGAGTATGGTATGTGAGTGAGTTGAATAGTATTACAGTTATATCACGGCGTGTCAACTAAATGTGGGAGGAAAGCCCGAAGTGATGCAAGTCTCAGACATTTACCGCTTTGGGGAAACCCACGAACACGGGTATGGCGCGAACAAACCTTGAAACATAATCGGGGCGAACCGGGATTCGAACCCATAGTCAAAGGGTTCACTCGTGACCAAGGGACGTAACTCTGTACAGCGATTTGCGGCGCCTCAGACGACTAGCCACCCGTGCACCCGTATGGTGCGTGCACAGCCAGTGTTAACGGTTAATGCTTTTGACTGTTATAACACGTACCGCTTCAGGAGCGTTGATGACCCCTGTGTTGTAGCCAAACTGGAACGATCCCATGGCGGCTGCAACTATGGACATCATGAGTCGTGGGGTCAGTTTCTGTGTAGCAGAAATACAAGAAAGAATGATGAAGTGTGTTAATAAACAAAATAAAGTCCACTCACATATCACTTCCGATTCAAGCAGTGTTTAGCTCAAGAGAGTTAAGAAGTAAACAGTCGCAACAAAAGGGCCATCAAAGGCTGTAGTGAGTGAGTGAGTGAGTGAGTGAGTGAGTGAGTGAATGAGTGAGTTTGGTGTCACTCTGCTTTGACAAATATTTCATTTATATGAGGGCGTGTAAGTTTGATTTGGAAAGAACGCTTGAAGGGATGTAAGTCACAGAGGTTTGCCGTTTTAGTGAAACCCACGTGCACGGGTATTGTGAACCATAATCGGGACAAACTGGGATTCAAAACCACAATCAAAGGTTTCTGTCACGACTAAGAGATGTCTTCAAGATTATTACACTTAAAATATATGTTATATACACACTGTCTCAGCGTGTGTGTACGTGTGTGCGTGCGTATGTATGTGTCTGCATGTACAGTAAACTACGGTTATTACGAACTCAAAGGGACCACTTATTTTAGTTCGTTATAACCGTAGTTCGTTATAAGCACATATACAACACATGGACGGGACTACAAAATCAGTTCGTTATATCGGTCAGTTCGATATAAGCGTGTTCGTTATAACCGTAGATTACTGTATTATAGACTAATTCAAGTATTATAGTGCCAACACCCGCGATACCATTCCGCATTGTAACATAGATACCCGGATCAGACACAGTATACTGACTCCGAGCCGACCAATGCTTGTTTTATTCCCTTAATGCCGAGCGCATGACAGGTAAACAATAATAACTATCTTTTAGGTAACTGCCATCTTGTCGGTGTGACGCGGCTGGAGATAGAATCCCCGGCTCCGGTCTAAGACCTGCAAAAATTCGGGTTTTCCTCATGATCAAGCTGGTACCCCGTAATAACTGGAATACTGTTCTAAGCGATATCAAACCAAACTCACTACGTTTAAACACATTTATAGGTACACGGTCCACCTGGGATATAACGGTACAGGTCACATCAATATCGAACATCGGATACAGCGAGTTGATTTTGTTGGTCCAAGAAGGCATCGAAGCATAATACTATTGAACATTTGGTTATATATAATGCGTTTTGCAAACGATCACTGACATTTGTGCATTTTATGATTTCTGTTCTTTCAGATTATTATTTTGAGATAAGTACATGTGTTGTAGATTTCACTCACCCCCCGACCCGTGAAGATTCCAGGGTAGAATAGGTCTTCAGAAACCTTCTTGCCGTAAAGGCGACTATGCTTGTCGTAGAAGGCGACTAACGGGATCGGGTGGTCAGGCTCGCTGACTTGGTTGATACATGTCATCGATCCCAATTGCTTAGATCGATGCTCATGATGTCAATCACTGGATTGTCTGGACCAGACTCGATTATTTTACAGACCGCCGTCCTATAGCTGGAATATTGCTGAGTGCGGCGTTAAACAACAAACAAACAAAAAAACACTCACCCCATGTTCTGGGGTGGGCTGGGTCTGAACGTCACCCCCAGGCTTCTCGAGATCTGTCGTCCCATACGTCACCGTCTTTGATGTCTCAACCTTTTCTCCCATGATGGCGTAGGAAAAGTCAGCCAATCCAGGTGCTGCCTGTTTTACTGTGTGTTTGATCTGAAATATGACATGACGTATGACAATCAAAATAAAATAAAATGTCCTTACATATCTTTTCTCAATAGAGGAATGCGTTGTTTAGATTTGTCAATTACTAAAATTAATTATGTTTGTCTGGAAAAGAAGAGATGTCGAAATATAATTTCAATCTCCAAAATTACCTGTAGATGAAATGGAGGTCAATCAAGGGTCAGAAGTGGTTTTCATTCGTCTCAACTGATATGGCCGTTGGTTTACGACTAACGTATTTATTTGTAGAAAAGAGCTTGTATTGTCTCTGATCCTGTTCAGAATTGAATATTGTAACATTACCCTCGTAAATGTAACCACGGAGCAGATATATTCACTTCCATCCATCATGAAGATAACTGTTAATTTGTATAAGTGAACGAGTTGGAGAAGCTTACTCTGCCCACAGTTGGGAGCAGATCATTCATTAGTAGGTACCGGTACCGTTACACGGGTGTGGTTTAAAAGGGAATAGGGTGCTGGGTTTAACGCCGCTTTTAACAGTATTCCAGTTATATCACGGCTTGTCAGCTTAATGTGGGAGGGAAGCCCGAAGTGATGCAGGTCTCAGACGCATATCACTTCGATGAAACCCACGAGCACGGGTATGGTGCTGACAAACCTAGAAACATAATCGGGGCGAACAGGGATTAGAACCCACAATCATTGGTTTCTGGCGTGCCCAAGGGACGCAACTCTGCACAACGAATCGCGGCGCCTTAGACGACTGGGCCACCCATGCCCCCTAGTAGAAGGTAACAGCTTATAGCATTGGACAATCGAAAAAGTTGGAAGATGTATTAACCTGTATTATTAAGACAACCTTTGTTGATAGAAGTAAACTTTTTTCAGTTGAGGACATGTAACCTGTATCCTACGACAATCGTCAATGTTGGTAGCAGGAGATAAAATGTTTACGACAATCGTAAATGTTTGTAGACACGATAGCCTTTATCTTACGACAGTCGTAAAATGCTAGCAAAAGATACAATGTAGTTTACGACAATCGTAAATGTTAGTAGACACGATAGCCTTTATCTTACGACAATCGTAAATGTTGGGAGCAGAAAATAAAATGTAGTTTACGACAATCGTAAATGTTAGTAGACACGATAACCTGTATCTGACGACAACCGTAAATGTTGGTAGCAGAAGGTAAAATGTAATTTACGACAATCGTAAATGTTAATTAGTAGCAGAAGATAAAATGTACTTTACGACAATCGTAAATGTTAGTAGACACGATTGCCTTTATCCTACGACAACCGTCAATGTTGGTAGAAGAAGATAAAATGAAGTTTACGACAATCGTAGATGTTAGTAGACACGATAGCCTTCATCTTACGACAATCGTAAATCTTGGTAGCAGAAGATAACCTTGAGCTTACGACAGTCGTAACCGGCAGAAGAAAGCATGTAGCTGTCAACAATCGTAAATGTTGCTAGCAGACGATACCCTGGAAATTACAACAATCGTAAATGTTGGTAGCAGACGATAACTTGTAGCTTGCGACAAGCGTGCCTGTTGGCATATAAGGAGGTACCCTGAGGCCGTTGACCTTCTTTGATGTTGTCAGAGGAAGATAACCAGGGGCACTGTTCCACAAAGCAAAGTCTATGTTAAAGTATGGGGATTACGGCAGTCGTAGCGCTAAGATTGTTGAGTGAAGCGAGGTCCAGGATCGTATATTTAGATGCGTTCTATTAAACTAAACGAAAACAGGAACAAGTCGGTGTTTCCGTGAATTTACAGAGACACACACGCACTGTCCCTTGTGTCTATTGGCGTGTACATGGGGTGGATGGGTGAGTTGGGTTTAACGCCGCTTTTAACAGTATTCCAGTTATATCGCGGCGTGTCAGCTTAATGTGGGAGGAAAGCCCGAAGTGATGCAGGTCTCAGACGTTTACCACTTCGGTGAAACCCACGAGCACGGGTATGGTGCTGACATACCTAGAAACATAATCGGGGCGAACCGGGATTCGAACCCACAATCATAGGTTTCTGGCGTGCCCAAGGGACGCAACTCCCTCAGCGAATCGCGGCGCCTTAGACGACTGGGCCACCCGTGCCCCCGGCGTGTAAGGACACACAGCGTGTAGCCTTCACCGGACACATCAATCCACCCGTCGACTGTGGGGTAGGATGTAACGGTCGGTCAGCATAATGCTCAAGGAATGGATAGGAGAGGAATGCTCAGTTTTATGCAAGTTTCAGATGTTTACAATTTTGATCAGCGAGAAGGTTTTCTAGAACGCATAAGTGAGTGCGTGAGTATGGTTTTACGCCGTTTTTAACAATATTCCAGTAATATCACGGCGAGGCAAACCAGAAATGGGCTTCACATATTGTACCCATTTCGAGAATCGAACTCGGGTCTTCAGCGTGACGAGCGAACGCTTTAACCACTAGGCTACCCGACCGCCCTAGAACGACTAAGGAACGCAGATTCCGAACCAAAGACCGCCCGCATATCGACCAGGCAAACATATTTATTTCTCGTCTCAACAGGGTTTTACCATGGTACGGGAAATAAAGAAAAGTTCTGTATTTTTACTTTACAGCGCTTGGAATTGGCGTTCGATAACTATCTCTTAGAGCATATGAATGTGCATAACAGTGAATGTGCACACTTTGGATAAAAGCATTACGTGTTTACAGAATAGCGGCTGTTATTGAGTATGTAAGGTCCAAAAAAGTCCTAGAGTTTAAGTCAATGGCATCAAAACAATTCGTCCTACCCCCTGGAAATTGGCGCAATGTAAATTTATATACAGTAAACTACGGTTATAACGAACTCAAAGGGACTACTAATTTTAGTTCGTTATAACCGTAGTTCGTTATAAGCATATATACAGCATAACTACAACAAATAGTCGGGACCAAAAAAGTAAGTTCGTTATAACCGTCAGTTCGTTATAAGCGTGTTCGTTATAACCGTAGTTTACTGTATATCATATATGTTAATATCCTACATTCGGGGGATCCGGCCGTATGAGGCGTCCGAATTACTCTGCTTTTGATCCTGCCTTGTGATTGGTCCGGTATCAAATCTATTTGAGGCTTTGTTGGTATTTGCTGACTGTTTCATTGGAAACGTTGACAGATGACGTGTTGCGGTTATTAGATTATAACAAGCAAATGTGGCAGCACATGTAAGGTGGATACCCAGTAAACAGTTTTGTTTATATCTGTTGTTTAACGCGGCACTCATGTGCAGCAACATTTCAGTTTGGAACAGACATTCCAGTGATTGGTATTGCGAGCAACGATTCACTAAGTCGGGGAAAGATGATACGCCATCAAACGGTTACCGAGCCCCCCTTCTCTTCCCCCGTCCCAAATCCATTAAGTCACCTCTCAATTATATATTGCTGGGGACCAAGTCTATGCCGAAATTCGCACCGGTTCCCAATGTTGTTTGTTTGTTTGTTGTTTAACGCCGCACTCAGCAAATTCCAGCTATATGACGGCGGTCTCTTAATAATCGAGTCTGGACCAGACAATCCAGTGATTGGCATCATCAGCATTGATCCACGCATTTGGGATCGATGACATGCATCAACCAAGTCAGCGAGCCTGACCACCCGATCTCGTTAGTCGCCTCGCCTTTTACGGCAAGCACAGTCGCCTTTTACGGCAAGCATGGGTTGCTGAAGACCTATTCTACCCCGGATCTTTACATGCACAAGGTCAATGTGACATCTACACAGCTTCACACTTGGATCTACTTTTTCACGTAGGGTTATGTGTATTATTATAAGGGTAACGCTATTTTTCAGGGCATTATCATTTGCAGAAGCCCGAGGTGTTCCATTAACTGGCCGACGAAGGAGGGCGGTTGAAAAGACGGAGGGCTTCTGCAAATAATAATGTCCTGAAAAATAATGTTACCGTTATTATAGCTCTAAATGGATGGACTTTGTTATTAGATAAAAAGAAACAACAATATCGGTTTGGAAACATTTACTGCAATCAACACGAATGTCACTGACCGACTTTTACAAATATGGAAACGTCACCAGATGACGTCACTATTGAACGGTACGTCACTTATCCCTATGCTATAACGTCACCTAACAACGGGTGTGATAATAGCCCGGCGTCAAGCAATATGAGGGCATTATCAAGTTACAGTGGCCCGCTCATTTCTGATAACATGCGGGCGGTTTAATGATAATTCCATCCATTTCAGCTATAATAAAACATATATCGACCCGAATGACAGAATATTGAACATACTTCATATTTTTAAAAATAAACATACACACTGCCATTGCGTTAAATGTAGGCAAACCTTAAATTCGAAAGCTGTAACGTGTTCCGTTTCGAATAAAATGAACAGTTATCAAATCCACGTTTGAAACCTCAAATTGAATATTAAAAATGTTTACTTTCTAATTATACCACGTAATACTCTAATTACAGTGAACAACACTGACTGTTTGTTTCTATGTTTGTTTGTTGTTTAACGCCAAACTCAGCAATATCCCAGCTATATGACGTCGGTCTCTAAATAATCGAGTCTGGATCAGACAATCCAGTGATTAATAGCATGAGCATCGATCCGAGTAACTGGGATACGATGACATGCATTAACCAAGTCCGCGAACCTGACCACCCGATCCCGTTAGTCGCCTCTTACGACAAGCATTGTCGCCTTTTACGGCAAGCATGGGTTGCCGAAGACCTATTGCACCCCGGTCTTACACTGACTGAGAGAGACTGGAAGTGATAACTTACGATTGGGAATCCGCGCTCCGTCTCTGAGAATTGAACTGGTCTGTAGTTACTGATATCCTTAAGTGAAAACACTACAACGCGATCTGGAGCTGGGATGAGTCAGCATTTTAGCCATGTGACGAATCCCTCCGACCTATCACTGCTATCTTCTAAAGCGGCCACGGTGCATTGTCATTCATCATCAGAAGTCCGCGCGATCACGTGATGGTGTTTACATAAAATACCATAGACAGTCACATGTCGT